AAGTTTTTTTCCCTTAAAATTAAAACCCCCTAATTTTTCATAGGGTAACCCTTATGTGTTTTTAAAAATTTTTAACATAAAAAATTTTTTTTGGCAAAAGGAAAAGTTATAAAAAACCCCCTAAGGGAAAGGTGTGCGTTCAATAAACGAAACCCCCAACCCGACCCACAAAAAACCCCCCCGGGGCCCGTTGGAAACCCCAAAAAAAAGGGTTGTTTTTAAATGTTAGAAAATTACCCAATATTCTTTTAAATTTTGGGGCCTAGTATTTTTTAAAAATTAAAGACTAAAAATTTTGTAAAACCCTTCCTGTTTAAATTTTTTGGGGTATGAATAAACCCTCCCTTAAAACCATTCGAATGTTAAAAAAATTTAAAAATTTAAAAAAATTGACCCCCAATAGTTTACACCTTGTAACAGCCCGTTTAAACAGACTGCCCTCCCCCTATTCAGACGGCAATGGCTATTCACAATCTGACAAAAGTTCAAACCTATTTAAGTTATTAGTTATTTATTACCTGTGGATTTGATTGTCACAGTATTTGTGTCGCCATCACTGTGATTAAAATCTATTTTAGCCGACCTTTATAGACAGGCATTACAAGAAGTATCAAAATATCGCTCTCCGTGAAAGTAAAACAAATTGCCACCCCAGAAATAAGACCACCCCGCTATTAAGACCAATTTTTATAAGAACGGAATTTTCTGTTCTTTATGTCAATGGTTACATGATCCAGAATTAAGACCACCTCGCTTATCCACTTTTAAGACCACCAGATTAAGTCCCAATGCTTAATTTTGTTCTTTATTTGACCCCACCCTATTGAGACCACTGATTTTAAAGTGTCAACACTTACCCTAGATCTTCAAATAAAATGTTGTTTTGTTGTTATTATCTGCTTAAATGCTCTTAGGCATTAACACTTCATTTCATTAAGGTGTCAAAAACACCTATATAATTTTGGGATTATTGTATGAAATAAGTGAGAAAGTAAAATTTTAGAGTGGTTTAATGTCTTTTAAGCACATTGTTTTGCTTATTTGATTCATTTCTTATTTGATGGTGTATTATGTACCATCAAATAATAATTAATATTTGAAATTCAGATCAAATTAAATTTGTATATTAAATTTCTTCAAAACAATTTCTTTCCATCAGATGTAAACATTATAACATACTTAAATTGTGATTTGGGCAGGTTAAGATATATAATGGTTTGTTCATTACAAAATGACTTAAAATAGACCATGGTTCATAAAGTGTAAGTTTTAAGCAAATAAGAATTTCACAATTAAGAACCACCCGCAATTTAAGACCACTTTGGTCCAGTCCGATGGTGGTCTTAATTGAGGGTTTTTACTGTAATTTTTGAAACAATTCAACTCAATTTTCATAGGACAATATAGTTTTGGCCAGTTTAACCGCCGGGTTTAAATGAAAATCCCATATTGCTCGAATCTGAAGTCAACCTAAACTCAGATGGTTTTTCCTGCGGTAAAAATCATAAAACTGCATCGCTTTCTAAATTTGAAAAATCGCCAAATGAAATTGGCGGTTTTGACCCGAGAAAATGACATATCAGGTGCAAGTCAGAGCAATGAGAAGCTTAAAATTAGAGCTAAAATATACATAAATGGGTAATTCCAATGTTCACGGGCTGTTAAAGTTTGAACATATCTTTGGCACTCTAATAATCATTATTAGTCAAGAGGAATTTTCGTAAACTCATAGTCGCATTAATGGATATTATGAGCGCCATAGCTGACTTTTTACCTAATTTTTATAGATGTTACTGAAAACTTATCTACTTTTGCTTGGCTAAATTACGCCTGAAATTATCTGTAGGAGCGAATATAGTAGTACACGGATCTAAAAGTGACATTATGCCCTTCTTTCTTTTCCAGTGAAGATGTGATTGGCAAATATTATGTTATGTTAATTGAACAATAATTGATAATGGAAAGAATTTTTGATAAAATATAAAACTACATGAATTATAAAAAAGACTGCCTTACTAGTTTTAAGAATGGAGCTTTTCCAAAGCATTCTGAACGATATTGTGCTAATAAACTCATCATTAACCTTTAATTCTGTTTAACGTACTAGTAAATGCATTTAACGCAATCCTCATTGATTTAACTCAATACAGGATTGGAGGATTGGAGCAATACCTCTAGACGCTTGCATAAATCATGATCACAAAATAGACAAATATCGTTGTTTTTTTTCACCGATTCTTACATTTTGCATTCATTGTCGTATATAAATGAATTAGACGTTTGAAAGTTCATAACCTTCGGTGAAAAGGCGAAATTTTAGCATTCGTATTGACCTGTACATACCGGAATACGGTATTTATTGTGGTGCTCCAATACTCTTTTTAGTCTCACTCAACATAAATAATAGACTGGTCCCCAGCACACTTCTTAAACGTTTTGGGGTCATTGATTTTCCTTTTATCTCCTTATATGCAATGACAACCAGTAATGTTTTTACACATGCACTATTTCAGATACAAATATGAACTTTGTGATATCACTTTTAGTTTAGATTCTATATCTGCTTTTGTTTATAGATTGCAATAGTACTAATATAATTATGTTCCTTATCATGGAGAGCTTTATAAACAGGTAAGCGATTTCAGGGCCATCATGGCCCTCTTGTTTATATATGTTGTCTAAATGCCGTGGTTTTAACAAGCGTGTCTTGTCACGTAACGCGCATTCATTATATAAGAAAACGAGAAAAAATATGTCTCTGTAACTGAAATATATTAATTAAATATAGCATTAACAGAACGCTCGTTATCGTTTGTCCATTATCGTATCCGTTGCCATTAGTTGCCCACAATGGTATTGTTATATTTTGTTATGGAAAATCAAGTTGAAGTAAATTGTGTTACAAAGAATGTTTACTATGGTTTTAGAACTTGTGTTCCTCTGGCACTTTCTGACTTGATTGTGCTTGGCCCAGTAATAACACATTTTAAATGATTACATAGCTTGAAATTAACGCAGTAATGCAGATTTTTAAATGATTGCATGACCCGGTATAAATTCAATATTCAAGGGCTATATCTCAGCCAAAAATGATTCAAGTGGAAACCCGTGTTATATGCCAAAGTACTCGAGCATTAGATTTTTCCTTTTAAAAAATTCACTTAAATTGCTTAATTGCTATAAGAGGAGTAGTCCGGACAAACTTTGATATCAAAATCATTTAAGGGCCACAACTCTGATTGAAAATCATTGAACCGGAAAATGCCGTCGATATGCACAATTAGACTCGGTATTGATAATTCCTGTAAAGTTTGGATGATATTCTACCAGTAAGTTTTGAGGAGTAGTCAATACAAATTTTGTGATGGACGGACAGACAGACAGACGTCGAATAAGTGATATGTGATCACTAGTATCGCCTGTTTTCTGTAAAGGGCACAAAAATATGGACACGGACGCCGAGGTGAGTAGTAAAGCTCGCCATGTTTTTCGTATTGTCGGCCTAAAAATAACAACAGCAGCAACAACAACAACAACAGCGTTTATTCAGTTATTAAGCCGACACAATAATTGTTGGTGTGACAACCAGTCTATAATATAAAAATAGTCTAATGTTCTTCATGTTTTGATATTTTTATTAAAAGAAAATTAAATCATTTAAAGTTCAATACAAACTTACAAGTTAATTCAGTTAGCCTATTAAAATTGCCTTTATTTATTTTTTCTTTCATCCTTTGAACATTAATGTTCTCAACCATGAACTATAAATATATGTATACACTACGAAAATAAATACATAAACGAAAGAAATAATAAATGACCAAAGGAAAGAATTTAAATATTTTTAAAATTAATTAACTTTTTTTGTCCATCCAATCAGATAGATAGGTAGCCTCAGAAATTTGAAATTCAGCGACCTTCGACCTTATTACATAATGGTCACAATTTGTCGTTATACTTAAAGACCAACCATGCCCTAGAAATGCTTTAATATTACTGTCTGAAAAACTTTTTTTGATGTTTTATTTTAGTTTTAAAGAAGTTATTTATTGGCCAGTTTCTAGAGCCATGTCTCATTTCTATGGGTTTTTTTTTTTTGAAATTGATAGTACTAGTAATTCAGTATTTTGTTTAGAAATCAAAACACTACTTTGTTTACATTTTGCAATATCTGTTTGCAATTCTACTTTCTTCGGCGATAAGCATCCATCATGTTTTAAAACCAATATCTAAACAAAATAAATTTCATACTTGCCTCTTCTAAAGAAAATAACTTTATTTGTTTGTGAGGCATAGTGTGCCTTTAAAGAATGGTCCATATGTATCGAATCATGAATTAATCATGAAAATAAATGTATAAGCTTATTGACAAATCTACTAGCAATCAATAAGTAGATCTATCACCGTAATGATTACATTATCAATGTTTAAATTCACGAGAAATGTGTTTATACAATTATGTTCTTCCTTGTAAACCATATTTTCTCAAAAGTCGTTAGTTCCATGAGCTGTTATTTAGAGGAATATCTTGACCCAGATTGGCCTTTTCACGTGCCCAATAACTGAAAATATAACAGGTATTTTTAGCTTGTTTAAAAAAGTAAAATATTACTGTATGTAGAAGATATGATCATAAACAAATTCCTGACAAGGTAAACTTGAAACATTGTGTCTTATTATAATGATAAATTTATCAGTTTAATTGCAAACTTCAACTACCACAGTCCTGAACACGCCGCTATGCCAGGATGGTTTTATAACGTCTCATGAACTGGACAAAAATGACGTTATTCAACAGAAAAGTATAATTATGTATCGATACACTTCCTTTTTGCAGGCTATGATATTTGAAGGTGATACCTCAAATACTTTCTGAGAAAAAAATGTGTCTGTGCAAAGGCTATAGAGATCACGCTAAAGAGACTAATGGTTTTACTTTAGAGTTAATTATTAACGTTAACTGTATAAAAGAAAGAAAAATACTTTCCATATATACATACTTATGCATCAATAAATCGCCGTTTATCATTTGAGCCGGTTTTGGAGGCGGTGTCACTACCTTTTGAACAGTTTGCACAACAGGTGTGGCAACCTTTTGTACAGGTGTTTGAACAAGTTTTACCGGCTTCACAACCTTTTTCACCACTTGCCGCTGAACGAGGACAGCTGTAAAATTAACATGTGTTTGTAATTTAAAGCTATTTTAATCAGTTCTGCAACTAGTACTGGTCAACTGCTTAACATCCTGTCCAGGAACAATGCGGTGGCAGAATTGCTCTGGTAAATTCAATGCGGCCTTCTGCTGTGAAAACAACCAACAACACCACCATATTGCAAGCTGGGCTCCTCCGGATGTATAAAAAGCTCATTCATGTGTATCAAAGTCACGAAACATTAATTATCAGTACATTTGTGTAAATTTGAATTGCATAAATCTTTTAAACTCGAAGAGAATTTTGGCATAACAATCATATAAATAATAATAATTATAATTATATGCAGTGTCATCTTCATATTTCTACCTGTTAACTCACAAAGTCTACATTTTAAATATCTAACAGTTATTTGCAATGATTACAATCTGACTACTTAAGTTTTACATCTCGAGTCGGAGCTGATTTGGAATAGCAAGTACTTAAGGCTTACCTGAATCACTTTTCTTATACGCTTCGCATTTTGTTTGCTCGAGATCAAGTAAGATTAAAAACAAATCATTAGAAAGTACACCAACTTTTATAGGCCTGTTGCTTTTAACGCCCACATGTATCACTGTTGAATATGTGTCACAAAATGTTCTTGCTTTAAAATTGTAAACAGGTCAAATAGAAATTAAAACGAGTGAAAATGTCCTAATAGGACTTATACATACGCCGTTGAACTAAACGCATTTGTTGCACCGGTCGTACAACCTTGGTTCGTACTGCAGATGACTTCAGACACGGACGGCTGAAACAGACATGTAGAAAAATTTGTAGTGAAAATACGCTACCTATAATAAATATTCCCATCCATGTAAAAATAAGTGGTGGCCTAAAATGGTTAAGGTGCCTGCATCTCAACATAGAGATCATGGGTTCGAGTCCTACTTGGGTCATGACCATGTTTCTTCATAGGACACCAGTACTGGTTGCTTCCAGGAAGCGGACTCGAAAGTTATGAATGTAAATTGCAAAAACTTAAAATTAAAATTAAATAAGTTTAAACTTAAAAAGAAATGACTTTAAAATAGGTTTCTATACACCAATATTTTAATGAAGGGGGAGGGGGGCAATATTGTTTATAATAGAACTGACAAAATGTGAACATATCAAATCTGATTTTGACGAGTTGTCAATCTTTTAATAAATTTGAAGGAAAGTGTTACCTAAGCAGTAAGCATGGAGATAAGATAAGATACGATACGATAAGATAAGATAAGATAAAATACGATACGATACAATACACTACAATACAATACAATACAATAAAATACAATACGATATGATATAATATAATATGTGTAATATAATATAATATAATAATATGTTTATAATACAATACAATTTGATATGAAAAAATACAACATGATATGATTTGTTTATAATACAATACACTACAATACAATATGATATAATATTATATGTTTGAAAAACAATACAATACTGGGAATGACCCTAAAATATTGGGAATGACTTTAAAATGGCGGCCAGGGGAGGTAATAATTGCTAGGTGTAAAGTATCTGTACAAAATATACCATCTACCACAACCTCCTCGGCAACAAAATCTCCTCAGGCAGTAAGCTAACACGCCAAGTGCCAGTAGAGAGAGGAGGATTGTGGGTATGAGCCAGAGGAGCATGTCGGACGTCGAGGACGAGGAACTAGAGGAAGAGCTCGAACTCGAGCTTGCCGCAGCACTTGATGTCGGTGGATCACAAATCATTACAGTAACAGGGGCGTCATCAAAGTTGCCAGCTTCGTCTGCAAAGAATATAATATAATACCTACTGGTTATTCTGTCACAAAAGGAGTTTTTCCTTCAAATATTCGTATAATATCCGTCATTTTCCGTTTGCAGCTTATAATGGTCTTCTGTGTTTTTACCGAACACACAAAAATAGCAAAATGTTCATTATGATCATGGTTATTTTTGTAAAGTTTAGTTTGGTTTTATCGCGCACCAACACAGTTTACGTCATATGGCGCCGAAACAGGAAATATGATTCTGGTTAACCTCGGGGGTGTTTAAAACATACCAGGGGTCAAAACCACCTCACCTTATGGGGCTAATAGTAATTCGGACCCATTTAGTCACCTCTTACGATTACGCAGGGTTAAACGGTAGCTGTAATTCTGATGCATCAGAGTATAATTAATTTCAAAAGTTTCTCTTGAAATTAAATTTCTAAACGTATTCCGACTGACCCTCAAAATATCTTTTCTAAAAAAAAAGGATTAAAAAGCAATTTCTTTAAACTTACTTTGATCGCATTCGTAATAACTTCAATGCTTAACGTACGAAAGTGTCGACCTAAGAAGTTATACTGTCATTTGAAGAAATATGGTCGTAATCAGAGGGGTGGTGAAGTTTTTATTCCCTCTTAAAAATACCTGATCCAAAAAGTTGCGATTTGCTAAAGCAACATCAGGGGTGCTTCTGCGTGTGTATAAGTTTAAGGACGTAAATTTTGGACGTTATATTAACTATGTCCTAGCTTGAATTTTACCTATACTAATTCCTTTGCATAGTGCGGTTAACTAGAATCATATTTAAGCATATGGAAAGAATGACATTTATAGCGAATGTTTTAAAGTATCTTTCATCAAACTTGTGTTTTGGTTATGCTTGCGTAAAATCTTCTCTGCTTCAGCATATGTTAAGTAACTAAAAAGGCATGCCCAACAAATACAGCTTTTACTAGCAGAAATAAAGTTCACTTCATGATTTTAAAACAGCACGTTTCATCAAAACACTACTGTGCTAAGTAAGACGTATAAAGCATTGATTCGTGACAAAATTGAAATAACGTCAGTACCAGTTACTCTTAGCGTGCTCTGAAAAGTTGTCCCCTTTGCATAACTGCTGACGTCACCATATGTTAGTCCGCCATTTCCGTCATCGCCAAATGGTCCACCCCCTGAAACAATTTATCATTTTTAATTAATAAAAACATTTTATTGTTTCTTACCATAAAGAATAGACACAGTTTTAATGATTATTTTGAGGTAAAAGCTTTTGTTCTTGTTAGGTTGAATGTTGCACACAAAGTTTACTATTACAATTCTGTTCAATCAGCGCAGAAAAAACTTTTTGTGAGCTCCTGCTTTTTCCAGTAAAAAACGTTCATTTTTATAATACAATTTTACAGCGGCTAACGGAACGTTAAAGTACAAAACCAGAAGCTAAAGTCACTAGCCGATGGATATTTTCATCAATGCATTATTTTTATACTTAAATACATCACACAAAGTTACCGATAAAGGAGTATGAAAGTTGACGGTGTTTTGCCTGCGCATCCTTGTCCGTGGCGGTCACAGATCCTAGCGTACCGGAAGTGGTGCCTTCAGTTGCGCAGAAGTGATATGACGTCTGGTCGTGATACGGCTTATTGTCGTCTGATTCCTCAATGGTTATTACGACCTTAATACAGGAAATTCATTTATATATTAAAGGCCCATTATGCCACAGACATGTTATCAATTTGTTTTCTCAAAAACACTTTGCTTTGGGTATCTTGTTTCAGTTTTTATTTTAAATTATAGTTATTTTGCTTATACATAAACTATCTTTTGCCTTTGCTCAGTCAGCAATTTGAATTGGTATTTTGTATAAAAAGTCAAAATACTACTTGTTTACATTGTGCTACCTTTGTGATACATTACTGCACGTTCAGCGCTAATTACTTAAGTATTTAAACATAATACAAACTCTATATTTATCATTGACACATTATTAATACATGTTCGACATTTCTAAAAACTATAAATGTGTCATCATGCCACGGATGCCCCCGCATGCAGCCAAAATTTCAGATGTTATAATATTTAGTTCCAAATTTGTTTGCACAAATTATTTTTTTCTTTTTAAGTTCAAAGCCCTTAAACCTTTTCAATGTTAACACAAACCATTTATATACAATGTTCAAGGCCCTGTAATTATTCAGTCTTAAACTTTTGTAAATTGCATATTGCATATTTGAGGCCAAAATAAAGGCTACATACATTTTCACAAAAGTATGAGTGCTGAAACTGAAAGTTCAAAATTTTTCCAACATTCAGGAAAGATAAGTTTGTCCAAAATCATTGAACCACGACCAAATTCAAACTTAAACTGCTTATTCCTAAGATGTATCTATATGTTAAATTTGAGTTGAATGTGTACAACCATTGGGGAATTAATGAACGGAAACTTAAAATTTCTGATTTTTTTTCAAAGTTCAAGAGGGATAACTCTGTCAGCTATCATCAAACCATGACCAAATTCGAAATTGACCAATGCATTCCTATCATATCTTTAATTTGTGTTGAATATGTACAACTGTTGGGGAGATAATGAATGGCAACTGAAAATTTCCTTTTTTCAAAGTTAAAGGGGCATAACTCTGCCAAAAATCATCAAACCATGACAAAATTCAAACTTGACCTGCGCATTTCTTTGATGTATCCATATGTCAAATTTGAGTTGAATGTGTAATACCCTAGAGGAAATAATAAACGGAAACTGAAAATTTCATATTATTTCAAAGTGAAAGGGACATAACTCTGCCAAAAAAATCATCGAACCATGACCAAATTCCAACTTGACCTGTGCGTTCCTTTGACATATCCATATGTCAAATTTGAGTTGAATATGTAACACTGTTGGGGAGATAATGAACAGAAACTGTAAATTTCATATTATTTTCAAAGTGAAAGGGGCATTTCTCTGCCAAAAATCATTGAACCATGACCAAATTCGATCTTGGTCTGCGCATTCTATTGACATATCCATATGTCAAATTTGAGTTGAATGTGTAACACTGTTGGGGAGATAATAAACGGAAACTGAAAATTTCAAATTATTTTCAAAGTGAAAGGGGCATAACTCTGCCAAAAATCATTGAACCATGACCAAATTTGAACTTGACCTACGCATTCCTTTGACGTATCCATATGTCAAGTTTGAGTTGAATGTTTTGTACCGTTAGGGAGAAAATGAACGGAAACTGAAAATTTCATATTATTTTCAAAGTAAAAGGGGCATAACTCTGCCAAAAATCATCAACCAATGACTAAATTCGAAGTTGACCTGTATTTTCTTATGACATATCCATATGTCAAGTTTGAGCTGAATGTGTTGTACCGTTGGGGAGATAAGAACGGAAACTGAAAATTTCATATTATTTTCAAAGTAAAAGGGGCATAACTCGGCCAAAAATCATAGAACCATAATCAAATTCGAACTTGACCTGTATTTTCTCATGAAATATCCATATGTCAAATTTGAGTTGAATGTGTGCAACCGTTACTAAGATAATGAGCGGAAACTGATGATGACGGAATGACAGAATGACGGAATGACGGAAGGACGGATTGACGGAATGACGGAACAGGGTAACACTATATGCCCCGGCCATTATATGGCGGGGACATAAAAATCGCTGATTAACAACCAATATTTTCTATAGAAAACGAGCAAACGTTATACTGTACATTCTTTGTTGTCACCTCCGCTACAAAGACGTATTGTAAAATAACTCGCTAAAATCAAACGAGCAAGTTCAGTTTACTGTGTGGTAATTAAACAACTTGTCAACTTACAGTTGTTGTTGTTTCTAGTCCTTCTTTATCTGTTGCGGTTACTGTACATGTTACAGTATCTTGAGCTTGCCTTCTTGGTGCGACATCTAAGTCCCACTCCTTTAACATCTGTTCGATAAAGTTATAAATTATTTATTTTACAGGGTAAAGTGTTTAGTTTAAAGTGTTTCATTGTACTTTATAGTGCTATATAATTTATAATAATATAATACTCATAAAACGTGTATGGTTTTTATTATAATAATTATAATGCATTGTGCCAAATTTGTATTACTGTTATTCACATCGACGCTCCTATAAATACATGAAAATAAATAGACCACGAGTGGCAGAATCACTCGTGAAATATGATAATATTCATATTACATGATGAAAATAAATCATGTATTTATAGAAACAAGAAAGTAGTCTGGCAAGACACCAGTGAAAATACGGGAAAAGCTGTTTCACTGTAGTGAAAATAAATTACACAGGGAAAGTACAGAATATCAAAAATACACATTTTATTTCATCAATATTTCGCAATATTTCATTTATAAGTAAATAATAAATACATGTGTGTAATAGTGTGTATAAAGCAACTAAAAAGCATAAGTAAAGATTCACTCATGCGCCTAATTTAGAAAATTCAGATTATCATAATAGAATTACGCATATATTATGGTGCCTGTTTGGTACCATGTCGAATTTTCGCTCTGTGGGGCGCCGAACGAAAATGCCACACATTTGTTGTATTTTCGTTTGTTTTTTTTTCTGTTGACTATGTCGAATATTTTTGTATGGCGCCCGCAGAGAGAAAATACAACATGTCACAAATCAGCAACCATTCTTTGTATATACCAGGTAGGACAAACTTTCTAAGAAATTGAAATTGTGTAAATGAGTATTTTCAGCTCCAGGATCACAAAATGTTTTAAAGCTTTATGCGGAACAACCGAAACCATTCGCAGCGTCAGTCCAGAATATACATGTTTACGCCGCCATTGTTAGTATCACATCCGTGTTATTTGTGCCGAACATTTAATCAATGATGTTATATTTTTGATCCTTGAAGATTGTTCAGCATGACATTATCGTTGTGTATACATTTTAGATGGTATTTTAAGTTTCTTGTATTTGGCCTTTTTCAATGTGGGTGTTTCCAGTATTCCTACTTGAATACTGTATTATCACCCTTGGGATATGTTGCCTGCTTTTTAAATTTGTCTTTTGATGTCTTGTCTGTGATATGCAGGCTTCATAACTTCAGATCCTCTTTTAAAATTCCATTTTATTTAGTTCCGCTCATTGTTTTCTCGTTTAGGGCACACGTATTCTTTTACTTCGGGACCATACGCCGCTTTTCATGGAATGACACTACTGTGTCACATTGAAGGTTCCATGATAACCGCCGTATGAACACATCTGCGGATGTTTCTAAATTTCACCATTTTTGTGTTTAAATGTTGAATTCTGCTTTTAAGCCGGGGTTAGGGGCATGGAGTTTAACTTGCACTTTCCAGTACCGTCCATGTACAGGCACAATCAAACCGAGCTTGCAACAATTTACATTTTTGCCGTGTTTGGCTTTCTTTAGGGATTCTATTTTTCACTTTTGAGTGGACTGAAAATAGTTTTTCGAGATTAATGTCCCATTTGATGTGGATTAGCCCAATAACTTGTATACATAATTCAGATCATTCACTCACTCTATTTTCTCAGAATAATTACTCTTATTGTGGAAAATGATACAAAATTGAAAAGCGTTGCAACACTTTTCATTCAAATCTGGCTTAGAATAGCAGAATACGATTTTTATTTCTGAGTACATGGAGTATATTTCTTAATTATCTTCTGAATATATTTCTATTTATTAGTAATCCAGCAAATTAAAGGGCCCCACTAAGGGTTGGTGGCATGACAGGGTTGTAAATATTTGTCAGACATTTGGGCACCAATTGATTTTTTTCCGACATTTGTGCACCAATTTATTAAGGTTTTAATAACTTGGGTGCATGTTTTCGCTCATTCCCTTATCCTGTCTTTCAAAAATAATCATTTATTATTTCACAACTCTGAACATGGATCTTTTCGCTTTTTCTTTGATATTGGCATTTCATTCTTCGACTTGATCGCGTGATTTTTACTCATAGCCTATTTACGATGAACCTTAAGACATGGAGAACATATGAACTCGTTACAAGTTTCACAGAATGCCTCCGCTTCTATTGTATCACCGTCACACTCACAAGACTGGCAAAGAAATGTAAGTCGTCCCCCTTGGCTAGATGTTGAATGTTTATCTTCCTACTCCTTACGACCTGATACCTCCAATTTGAATTATGAAAATCAATCTTTATGCAACAATGAAGGCAATATAATCCTTACAAATGTTTAAGTTATTGATATAAAATGTTTCTCGTCACGTTTTAACTATTACGGTAGTAAGTTATAATTACGGTAAGTAAGTTACGGTTAGTAAGTTTAACACGATAAATATATTATGTTTGTTGTAACGTTTATCCATAAATAAATAGGAAGTTAAGTTTAAATATTAAAACATAGTCAGGGGTGGGGGGACAACAATTCGGTAAGATTTATGACCGAAATAGTTACTTTTGTATTTGCGATATTATGATGCGGTATTGAATTACTATGTAACAATTATAAAGATAACAAATGAATCAAATTATCTAAATGTTTAACCTCAGATATTTAAGTAATGTATAAATAGTCCAAATATTATTGAAATTTTTCATGTTATTGTTAAATTTTATATTTAAGCACTACGTACCCTTCTGTCCCAATATTTGCGAATTTTGACACTGTCACATGTATTTTTATTATTATTATTATTATTATTATTATTATTATAATTAGTATATGTTTTGTTTATGTGTCTGTTATCGAGGAATTTTTGCTTTTCTAGTGTTCTTTTTTAATAAGAATTAGCATGCAAAATCGGTTTTTCATTATATATAGTAAAGTACGACCGTATATTTCTTTGTTATCCTTTGCAGATTTTCAAATTAAGTGTTTCACATTCAAATTTTATGTTTTAATGCATTTAGACCTCACTGGCGTTCCTTTTATGCAAGAAATTCAAATTCTATCGTTTTAGGCTTTTGTTCCTCATTGGAGTTTCTTCTAATTTCAAGAGTATAATGTGCTCAAAAATAAAAATTCACTTCGCTTTCAAAACCAAAAACAAACACACACGCACACGCACACACACACAGACACAATCCAATTGAAAACAAAAAGATTTTCGGTACATTACAATGAGTACGAACTATTCAAAATGACCTGTGAAAAAGTATCAAGTTATTGTATGCCCCAGAATTGACCTATACATGAATATGGCATATAAAGTATGTGAAAAAGTATTAACCTTACCGATATACAGCCAGTATGTTTGTCAATGACAAACACGCCGTCACCGTTTCCGCAATCCATTTTATATTTATGATCATCGTAAATATCTTCGTCTAGTATGTCCCCATCAAAGTCCGGGCAGCCTACCTGTGTCCCATGCTAGATAAACACAAGCAAACAATCAGAGGTTACTAACTTTTTGTGCCAAAAACTACAAATTAATGGATTACGCCCCTTCTTTGCAGTCTCACGTATTGATAGCAAAAGATCTAAAATTTTCCAAAAGACAAATAGATAATGTGAAATACTCTCGTGGAGTTATTTCAAATCTCTTTCATAAGAAAATCACCCACACACATCAACACACATTAATACTTTTTATAATTTTTACACAGAAAAAGGACAGATTCGTTTTATAATTTAGCAGAAAAAAGAACAAATCAATACAACAATTTAGCAGAAGAGAAAAGAACAAATAGATAATATAATTTAGCAGAAAAAACACAAATAAGTTCTATGATTTAGCAGAAAAAAACAAAACAAATAAATTCAACAATTTTAGCAGAAAAAAGAACAATTCTAACACGACTCGCATTTGTCCCCTATTGAACATAGAAGAACCGAAACTGTGTATTATTATGCAATAGAGTCACTGTTTGACGTTCTATATTTAGACATGTGACGTAATTATTATACATGTGACGTAACCACTATAGAATCCGACGCGCTGACAATAAGTACGGAAACAAATCAGGCGCAATTTTGCTTAATAGCAGGTACGGCAGCATTTATTTGTTTATGTCGTGTTAGAATCGAAATAATATATCCAAATCGGTGATTTTATCGCTGGATACGCCCTCGTGATATAATTCCTCGCATCCGAACTCCAAACAGTGATGTTATTGAACGATAAAATCACAGTTTGGGATATATTAGTTCTTAAATAGATATGTATTTAATATTGTTTAGCTGAAAAGGGAACAAATAAATTCTATAATTCAGTAGAAAAAAAAGAAATAAGATGTATAATTTAGCAGAAGAAAATTTAACAAATACATTCTATAATGTAGCAGAAAAAACAACAACAAGCAAATAATTTTATTATTTATAACTTTGCAAAAATGAGAACAAATAAATTCTTTAATTAAGCAGAAAAATATATATATAATTTAGCAGAAAAAAGAAGTAATAAATTCTTTTATTTAGAAAAAAGAACAAATAACTTCTACAGCAAAAGAAAAACAACAACAAACAAATTCTACAATTTAGCAGAAAAAAGAACAAAAAAATAATTCAAAAGAATAAAAGAACAATATTCATAATGCAGACAGATAATTCTATAAATTAGCAGAAAATAACAAATAAATTTTACAATTTAGCAACAGAACTTACATTTAGCAAAGCTCTTAATTTAGCAGACAAATGTGAACAATTATATTATTAGCAGTGACAGAACACAAATAAATTCACAAGCCAGAAAATCTACTATAGAAAAACGGAAAATTATTATCACACACCGTGCCGATTTTGCGCTCTAATATAGGTATTGCAGGCCGTGCATATATTTTGAGTCGTCATTAGCTATACAAACATAGTGTAAACCCAAATCGGTTGATTTAATACGATGAAACATCACTGTTTGTCGTTCGGAAGCGCATCATTATATCACTCGGGCTACGCCCTCGTGATATAATTCCTCGCATCCGAACTCCAAACAGTGATAATATTGAGCGATAAAATCACTGTTTGGGATATATTATTTCTTAAATAAATTCATAAATTTAGCAGAAGAAGATAAATTCTATAATTTAGCAGAAAAAATAACAAATAAATTTTACAATTTAGCAAAGAAATCTACAATTTAGCAAAAAAAGACAAAAAAAATCTTAAATTTAGCAGAAAAAAATGGAACAAAAAATTATATTATTTAGCAGATAAAAGAACAAATAAATTCTACAATTAAGCAGAAAAAAGTCATTTCATCTTATAGATAAACCGGAGTAAATTTATTTATCACACACCGTGCCGATTTTGCGACTCCGTAAATATGGTATTGCACGGCCGTGCATATATTTTGACGTGACGTCATTAGCGTTATACAAACATAGTGTAAAGACGCGCTAAATGTTGGCGTTATACTATAGGCGCGTCAATGAAAAATGACTTTTATTTCACTTTAAACGGACTTTATTTTGGGTATGTGATAAAAAGAATATTAAATTCGTGTAAGGTCATAACTGAATTTATTGCACTCGTTGACTAAAATAATATTATGCTCGCCAGAGGCTCGCATAATATAATTTTATTCAACTCGTGCAATAAATTCAGTATTGAACTTACACTCATTCAATATCCTCTATTTAACAAAAAATAGAGACGTTTCTATTATTAGTCATAACGGCTCGAGTCATATTTCCAAACAACCGTTATATATGGCCATATTATCTGTTAAAAATCTTTATACCGAAATTATTATACAGCAAGCATCTTTGTTTAGAGAAAAAGTAAGATTTCTTCAAAAATCGACATATGCCGTGTATTTATAACTATTTAAACGTCAAGATTATCCAATGAAAAGTGACGTTACAAACGTGAAGTATTGTAAAGTGTGTATAATACTGCACGTTTGTAACGTCACTTGTAATTGGATTATAGTGACGTTTAATAGTTGTATAGTTTTATATAGGACCATATAACCTATCGAAAATCAATATAACTAAAACAAGTAATATACTTACACCGCCTTCGTTAGGCTGTGTTAATTGCCATGTCAATTGCTGGAATTCCGGCGGTTCATTATCGTCATTAATTCGCAACGTGAACGTCTCTACGTCAGAATCAACGTATCCATCGTTAACGTAACATTCAACACGGTATTCTAACTGCCCGAGTATACTCATTTCTTCATAGTCTATTACATCTTTAGTGATAATCTCACCAGCTGATGGTTGATGATGAAATATATAATATGAAATAACTCACTGAATATATACAATATACGACATATATAGTGTAAAAAATAATGTCGTCTTTAAAGATATTATGCTCATCCTCGAGTAAATTATTTTAATCGCATTTTTTTTTTGAAATCTAAGAAATTCTTTCTGATGAATCTGTCTTATTTGAAAAAAAAAAGAATGAATACACTTTGTAAAGGAATCTACGTTCCCTATAACAGGTCTAGTAAAGCTAGTCTTTTTTTTAAATAAACTGCTAATTTTTTTAATGACACTATGTTTTCATATTGAGACCACCTAAAGTGTGATAACATATCTTCTTTGGTGAAGTCAAATATGAAAGACAAGATCATCATGGAAGGGTGGCTTTCAATGAACGCAACTCCCACAAGACCTTACAACACAGGACCACCGGCAAGGAGCCCAGCAGGACACAACGCATTATATATTGTTTATTTACAAATAAACTATGTAGCAGTTATCAATATTCTTATTTCAAATTTTAGCCTAGTATATCTTTATATATAGAGAACTACAATATGCTACACCTTACCTGCTTAACTTGTATAACAGATTTGACCTGCTTCAAACCATTCGAATATTAATTGTTTGAAGTTATTTGAAACACATTAACTGGATATAACAGACACAATTTTTAATGGACTAGATTGGCTAAATCGACAACACCATATTTGTTCTCGAAATCGTGAAAGTTGCCTACTCAGTATTTTCTTCAAGTGGATAAAATTAGAATCTGCATCGCTTTAAAATTTGTAAAAGCTCGCTGATGATTGGCTGTTTGAAAGGACACGAGAAAATGACCTATTGGTGCCCGTCAGATCCTAATGCGTAGCATTAATAAGGAGCTGATTTTAATCGGATTGCCGCGAATAACTTACCATTCCAGTACCATAACTTCCAGTAGGTTAGGGGTTAATGCATGGTAGTACTCATTGTAATGTTCATGGTTGGTTATTTTGAACATATCTTGGCACTCTAATAATTATTATTTATGTCAATATAAATTGTCATAAACTCATATATCTGCATTAATGACATTATGAACGCCTATCAGTGACGTTTTACCTAACATGATGTTGACTTTATAATCTACTTTTTCATTGGATGAAATTATACCTGAAATTATCTGTAGTGGCGAATTCAGTAGTACACAGATCTTAAAGTGACATTATGCTCTTCTTTCTTATGCTGTCAAGTTGTGATTGGCAAATATTATGGTAATTGAACAATAATTGATAATGGAACTATATGAATTATAAAAAAGAATGCCCCACTCGTTTTAAGAATGGAGCTTTTCCGTAACATCCTGAATGATATTATGTTATTAGCTTATCATAGACCTTTAATTCTGTTGAACATAAATGGATTTAAGTCAATACAGTTTTGGAGCAGTACCGCTAAACGCTTGCAGAAGTCGTTATAACAAAATAGACAAACATCATTTTTCATTCTCTATCGTATATATATTGGTGGGTAGAGATGAATTAAACGTTTGAAAGTTCATTCTGTTAGGTGAAAAGGCCATATTTTAGCATTTAATAATTCAAACGCCTTGTCCGGTTTATACCTGAATATAGCTTTAAGTGTGGTGCTCCAATCCTTTTTTAGTTAAACTCACTCAACATAAATAATAACTCTTACTGTCAGGAACCAATTCGAAATATGCGTCTCCGCCGTCTGGAAAGTCACAATGGTACGTTAGAGTGTCCGTGTCAGGAGCATCGACGTCATCTACTGTCATGGTAAAAACGGTGTCGCCTGCTGCATGCTCGTTTTTCAATACCCCGACTTTATCCTTCTTTGGGAGATTTGTGAATACTGGCGGGGTGTTGATGTCTGTTATTATTTATAAAAAGATTGTTATCAAGTCTTTATAATTTTCTTGTACTGTTTCTTTACATGTTACACGCTTTATAAACACTGCATGAGATTTCATTTTTAGAACAAATCTTAGAAAATAACTGTGCGTAAGCTCGGAACATATGTAAATCATTTAATAAAAATTTGGAAAAAATAAAAAACACATTTTTAAACACAAAAGTTTTAAAACTAATGCAAAACAAATGTAAATCATAGAACAAATAGAAAATAAAGAGGGTGAAAACTGTAAAAAAAATAAATGTTCATGACAAAACTTTGAAATAGTTATATAGGCATAACACATAGATAAACCAAACAAATTTGTAGTTGTTGAACAAAAAAAAGTAAATATTCAACAACTAAAAAGGAAAACAAAAAAAAAACACAGAAATTATTCGAAAGAAAAATTTGAAATGGAAACACTAATGATCGCCCAAAATTGCAAAAACATTAAAGATGTTTTTATGGCCGAGTTTGCTTGAGACGGTAGTGATAGTGTAAAACGAAACAAATGTAACACATTAAAAACATGTTAAAGTTTTTAATTAATTACTATCAAATTATTCGGTAGCTGCAATCTAAATGCACTAAACCGAACGATTGTAAAACGAAACAAATGTATCACATAAAGCGCATGTAAAATTATTATTATTATTATTATTATCAAAATAAAGAAAATACAAAAATACCATTTATTTTGAGAATTAATTCGGCAGGAGGGGCATCGGGGTTGTACTCATCAACTGCCTGTATTGTAAAAGTATATGTGTCGTGTGGATGTGAATGTAAATCAACGTTAGTCACGATATCCCCATCTGTAAAATAGTTCGCAATACTAAGTCTTGTTTATATTGATAACATAACTAACATTCTACTCGGTTATTAACATTGCCTATTTTCTTTTTCATTTTTATTACATGTTTTTCTTTTTCCAGTAGTAAATTTTAAAAATAAATATGAAAATATCAATGTCGACGTATTTCCATCTAAAATTAAATAAGCACATATTTCATAAGACTCTCCTTACATTATAGCGGACACAAATACACACGTTAGGCCAACTAGAAAAAAATCCAATTTGATACCATCCTTTGTAGTGCATTGTGTTATGTTTTCCACGTAATAACACAAGCACATGATTAAACAATCGTATTATACGCGCAAGTTAATTAAGTCTTCTTACTAAATGAAAAAGCACTAACGAAAAGTCTGCTTTCTCTTTTGTATCATAGGCAAAAATGATAACACTGTCCATGTTGTCACAATATGAAACCCTAGAATAAATGACCAATGAACGAGCATCTGAATATGATTTTTCTATGATCATACCTTTATGTATCTTCACATTAAATAAACACCAGACAAAATGTGTCGAATCAGTGAGCATGCTCTATATTTATTCCCAACTGACAGTGTGGTAACTAGAATGAGGGTAACTTATACCTGCACTCAGGTTACGCACTGTGCATTTACGGATATACGCTTTCAATCTTACACAAATTCAACAGAAAGGTCTCAAAACTATGATACAAAATAAAAATAATGAGCTGTTTTCCAGTGATTAAATTACTTGGAGTCAATGTAAAGTTGCAGGTGGCGGCGGGTTCACATGACACCAGGTTGTAAGTAATGTCATCCGCCGGGGTACTAGGATCTGTAGCTTCCACAGTAAACACTGTATCGCCCGCAGTGTAATCTTTGGCGTTTATTTCATGCTTTGTAGTTGTTTCACCTGGGATAGTAAAACGATGAATCAGTTTGTTATTAATCAGATTAACAATTTCGACAGAATTTGCCATTTAATATTGCTATCATAAATAAATTAATTAAAGTTCTGATATCTTTATCACATGGAAGATCATTTGTTCCATGTAAACCACGGAAACAGACGGAGTTAACGGCCATTTTCTCACTTATAGATGTTTTATAGTACAAACATATCTTTAATCGCCCGATGTCTGTTGAATAAGAGTCCTTTTGCTAGAAATTATTTTTCTTAAGTATTTTTCTACATGTATTTGTAAACCAGTTTGGTTGTCTAAAAATACAAATAAAAAAAGATTTATTTCTTGAAAATACATTACTGGCATTGGCAAGTTAACAGGCTAACAATTCATTATAGGCTTAAAGATTCGAAATACCACTCCCTTACAGGCAAGAAGTCATTTGTATCTAAAGTTTGGCGGAAAGGACCGAGCAGTTGCGATATGGATCGAAAACGAAAAACAATACAAGCAATATGGAATAATTCTGAAGCATTGTTAGCAAACGTTCATTCGAAGGAAATACCAATGAGTGAGTTAAAATTTTTGGGATTTGAAAATAGACTGGTACAAAATCATCATAAAAATGTTGTTTATTCCACTATCCTCACCTCCAATGTTGTCAAAGTTTGGAGCTTCGTTGTCTAAAACATTGATTGTTAACGTCTTCTGAGCACCTTGAGCGCCACTATCGTCCTCGCATACTATTGTTAAATCATAGGACGGTTTAGCTTTGTAATTCAACCCCTTTCCTGCCACAGCTTGGCTCACATAAAATACTGACCATGCTGTGAATGAAGAGAAATAAAGTCACTGACTCGCTTACCATTAACCTACAGGATCGAACTTGTCTTCCATTTTTGAAGATGTCCATTATCAGTTTTGGAAGGTTTAAGTAAGTCAGCCAGAAGTAGTCAGAAAACAGGAATGAGCAAGCTAATCTGGTTTAAGAGTGACACTAAAAAAAAGATCGGAGCACCACACTAAATACCGTATTCCGGTATATACCGGGCAAGGCGCTTGAATCATAAAATGCTAAAATCTTGCCTTTTTATCCAACGGAATGAACTTTAATAGGTCTAATTCATCTTTTCACACCGATTTATGTATGATAATGAATGAAAAATGTAAAAATCGGCGAAAAAAAGATATTTGTCTATTTTGTGATCATGATTTCTGCAAGCGTCTAGAGGTACTGCTCCAATCCTGTATTGAGTTAAATCCCTGGTTTATTACCTGTTGCAAAGACTTTCGGTCACTTCCGGTTCCAGCAGGGAAATGGCTAACGATACATGCAATAATAATCAGATTGGCATTTATCCGACAAATACAAAGTTTTTGACATACATATTAGAATGGTTTTGTGAATGTTTAGGGATGATTGCTTAAAGCCTAAAAATGGTTCACCGCCATATACTTTTTTTATACTTACATGTAAACATTTTACTGGACAGTCACTGTTTTAAGTACAATTGAGAGACATTCAAAAGGGAATCATATTTTTATTTCACCTGATCACGCCTTATTCTGTGAAGGCTTCTTCGCATACTTGTGTGTCAAATTTCCATCACAAATTAAATGACAAATCTTCTCAAGTAAAATATAACGTAATTTTATCTTTGACCGCACATTTGATTAGAGAAAACTTATTGATATTACAAATGCCTTCTTTAAGTGCCGAATAAACTTTCAAGAGCATCACGATCATTGAAAAATCTGGAAACAAAGTGATCCCTTGGAAGCATTAATCACAAAAAAATCAAAAGAAAATTGCAGACTCGGTTTGATTGAGTACACGAGGGATAATGACTATGTGCAACGTCCCTCACGCCCCTAGAACCGGCTAGAGAGATATTCAAATTCTCAACACTTAATAGTACTGGCATCAATGTTCCCGAAGGACCAGAAAAATATAACAACACTGAAGTGAAGTACGGGTCATATTTTTACAGCTGCCACACAGCACCTGCTGTTGTGAAGTATAAAATCTGGAAACAAAGTGATCCCTCGGAAGAACCGGTTGTGTAACATATTGCATAAATTTAGGAAAAAAAAAGAGAAAAAGTTAAAAGGAACTCACAGCTTGTTGCTGGAACATATTTAACGACGAATTCCGACTCTACTGGCGCTACTTGGCTGCAATCAAAGGCATCCTCCGAAAGAGTTAATTCAATAAGCGATACCTCGGCAACCTGTTCTTCAGGTATTTCTACCGCCGTTGGAAGGTTGGTAATTTCAGGTCCCTTGAAGAAGATTTAAGGTATTTTATATCAATATTGTTATCATTAGTTTTGATCAACTTACAACATATCTTTTATTATATATTACGTTTTATTCTTAGATTCAAGACGTGCTGCTACTGTAATGGCGCAAAAACTCCCCCACAGTATCACACAATGGTATTTTAATACGGATCATCTTATTTCAGAGTATGAACGTTGACAATCAGACAAAGTACTTTAAACGGATTATTGCGTTCTCGACAGTGTCAATATTGTTATCATTTGTTTTGATCAACTTACTGCATTTTTATTATATATTACGTTTTATTCTTAGATCCAAGAAGTGCTCCTATTGTAATGGCGCAAATAACTCCCTACAGTATCATACGATGCTATGTGAAAGTGTCAAATGGTATTTAAATATTGGAACATCTTATTTCAGAGTATATACATTGACAAATCAGGCAAAATACTTAAAACGTGCCCTTGCGTGTTCGGCATTGTCCACTATGAGTGATAGAAAACAAACATACATGTTTAACTCTTTGGATGCTGTTAGGCGCACTATACATTACAGATGTTTGCCTCTATAGGCAGAGCAAATTATGTACATATAATGTATTTCCAGCATTAATTGAGACAAACAAAATAAACTACCACAATATACCAAATTTTCACGGTATTGTTAAAGATCAAAGAGTGCTGAGAGATCACAAGAAAAAACTAATATATTTCGTGTAAATGGGGACTTTGTTGATACGGATCTTCCTCGATGTTTGATTGCGATATTGTGGCGTTTTAGTTCTCAGTGCTTTCAAGGCGCTCACATGGCGCTTTCGATGTGTCCATACTGCCCTGACTGCCTGTTAAAGAGTTTTGTTTTCACTATCTATAAAACAAAATGCACACACAGATCTACGCCATTAATTTGTTTTTAACATAAATGAAACCATTTCCGTCGATCCATTATTGAACCCAAATCCTTTTACTCCATTCTGTTGTTTTCAACTAGCTTTACGAATTTTCATAGTTGTGTATTTGCTGCGCTTGCATGTACTATCCCGGTTAGTTACCGTTCAACATCAATGATAAAATGAATATTTCTTTGCATCCATTATTTATTACTAGTATTTTGTATATTCAGTATAGTTCTGAAAATGCCGATCAATGCAATAGAAATGCATTGAAAATGATCACCGTGTCAGCTCTGTGCAGTCGAAGTTAGAGAGTAATAAAAAATAAAAATAATTTAAAAAAAAATCGAAGGTCTGTAGAAGAGCGCAGTATAAGCGTGGTATACACGAATTGACATCTCAGAGAACGCAGTACAATCTTCGGGCAACAACCGTGGAAGCATCATCCTTCGCACTGCTACCCCTGTGCCTTTTCACTGCACTCTTTTGACACTATAAAAGAGATTACTGCGGCACTAAAATTACCGATCCTACTTCGATCTTATCAGTATGTTGAGTGACAGTATTTGTTTTAAGCAAGCTGAAAGTGTCGTCGGTTGGCAATCTACGCATCGTTTTTGAGATGCATGTGATAGTACAACGCTAATTTGGTTTAACGTATTTTTTTTGACGCCGTATAAACGCCGCCTTGATCTGACATTGCTTTAACGTGTCACGTTATCGTTGTTGGCAACAGTAAACGAGAAAGAAGAACAATATAAAGTTTCGCGTTCTATACTTTGGCAAAAAATAAAGACACACAAAGTGCAAGCCTTCTTAAAGTTAGCGATTTTAAATGATCCGAATTAAATACATACAGGGTACCAATCGGTCGATAATCAAGACTCAAATGAGCAAAACTAAGTACGTGCATATTCAACATTTTGCGTTCTCAACATTGGCGACTTTGCTGCAAACCATTGCATATTATGTACAGCGTACTCTACTATGGCTACTGTAAATAAAATAAAAATGTATAACGTACCATGTTCTCAACGTTGACAGTTATAGTATCTGTGATTGACAATGTGCCGTCATCGCATGTAACTTCTAGCGTGTAAGACGGAGTTGTCTCAAAATCTAAAGCCCCAGCAGTTTTTATTACTTGAAAACCTGAAACAAAACATAGGAGCAAATAACATACTCTATTAACATGCATTAAAAAGCTCCCAGATCATAACATTGAAACAAAGCGAGTGTATTTATAAACATGAAAAGGCCGTGTTCAGTTTTTTTGTTTCTTTCCTCATTAAGAAGATGATAACAATGTCAAAAAGTAACACCTCTATCCGTCTCATTATTTGGTTTAACTTTTAACTTGCTGAAAACGAAAGCGATTAGCTTTTGCCACCAGTATAGAGCCAGACCATCATTTACTTCCTTGCAGTGTCAATGTTAAAAAATTATATTTTCTATTTACTGACGCAGTAGATTAAGCGGAAACACGTTTTACTGACACTTTTGTTAACTTAAAGATCAATAATAGTGGATTTTCCCAATAAAACTTGATAAGACCAATAACTTCCGTTTATCTTAAATTTTATTTCATTTTTGTTTTTCATTTTAAATACCACCTACAGCAGTGATGCATGAAGGATTACAGTCTTATATGAGCATGTATGAGAACCTACATAATTACACTAATTAATCATATTGGGAGGGAAAACACTTACACCTAACAAAAGGTTAAGCGACATTGGTCAAAGGAAGCGTTAACAGCTTCAGCTTTATTGGTTGGAAATATACAGTTCAAGTGGGGTACATTGTTGGTTGTTGCGGCGGTTGCAAAAGGATTTTTTTAGTACGTTTTACTTCACAAGGTTGACCTATAAAAAACATTATGCAATCGCGTGATCATGTTATCTTAAGCATTTAATTGCAATTTGTTCATGTCATCCACTTATTAAATACTTACCACTAACATCAAACGGACCGCCATCATTGTTTGTCATTGAGCACGTGACATCTGCAGCATCGAACTCCACAAAATTAAGTGTCTTTAGCGTTACCTGATCGGCCTCTTCCTCTGATACAGTGTAGGTTCCACCAGGATTGGATATCTCTGGGGCCTTTAGAAACAAAAAACAAAACAAAAGAATCACATAAGGCATGAAAAGCAACAAACTGTTTTACCTATAAAATTTCTGGGAGCTTGCCGATCGCATATATATATTGTGACACAAGTATGCTAAATGAATAGTATGTCGTATGCAGAGAATTGCACATGCATTTATTATGCATAAAAATGAACAATAATTTAGTATAAAAAGCATACAAATGCACATAGATGACATATAATGCTTTGAAATTCCTGTAGTATATTGTAACCGTAGAATTTCATACATTTAAAAAAATTTAGAGACACCTTTTCGATTTCATCCGATTTCAATATTTGTCTTCTATAAAGAATGGAATTTAAAAAAGAAACATATAGATATCGGTAACTTCAGTGTTTTGTATATAATACGATTTAAGTGAATAGTTATCTGCGATACTTTTTTTATATCAGGCGATATTATTTTGTTTTGTTTTTACTGAAGATTTTCACCCTGATAATAAAACACAGCAGAAGTTATTTGATGGTGTGGGTTCATTGTATGAAGTTGGATATTATTGTATCCTTTGAAAAAGACAATTTTCATTTTCAAGATGTCTTTTAAATTGTTTTTCTGTACGAGAATAAGATCTCATATAAATGTAATTCGGCTTTTATTGATAACAATGCAATTATAAACAGGTAAATATAACAATATCCTAGTGGGTTTTGTGATAATGAGGGGTGATTCAAAAACTTAAGCAAAGTGTGACACAAACGACGACACTGACCTAAATGAAAGGGAAAATAGGATTGCCATCCCTATATGCATATCTGTTCACTAGCCAAATAAGAGCATGCACGAGCAGATTCATCTCTTAATAGTGCAAGATTAAACCGAGCGCGGAATTCACTGGTGTATCATCAAATTTATTTGCATGCCTACATTTACATTTACAGTTACCATATTCATTGCCTACTTACAGCGTTAAGTATGGTTACTGTGAGTCTTTCTGTGACGGTAGAAACAGAATCTCCGCAAGTCACGTCAATAAATATAGTTCCTGGTGGTACATCAACATCAAATCCGGTCATGTGCCAAGCGTATACAATATATTCTGCAATTACAAAATAAAAAAATAAGGAAACAGAATTGCCAGTACGTGATATGCTCAGTTGGTGAAACGGTTTATCTAGATTAAACTTTAAAATTATTACATTTCATTAAATTAAGATGAAAAAAAAACAATTTTGAAAAGCCAACTATGACTGCACATATGAGCAAGTAAAATTAGCTCTGTACATATACAAGTTATTACAAATTCTAGCGTTCTGACAGTTCATTTAATAAGGTTTAGAATTAAGGCAATTTATTTTTTTCTTCTTATTTTCGCTCTTTAGAAATCTCTCTGTTCCAGGTAAAACATATATATTTTAATCAATCAACAGTGATCTTTGATAGTTCTCTTGATTCATCGCTGTCATCTTATACTCGTACGAGACACAGGACTCGACGGGACCTTTCCGTTCTCATACGCGTGTCCTACCATAACAAAAAACTCCTACAGTGGTACCATGATTGAAAATACTTACCTGTAATAGGTAATGCAACATTTCCTTTCTCCAAAGGTTCAATGCCTGCAGCTGTCACAGTATCGGACAAGTAACAAACTGCCTCTGAAAAAATTACGAACAGCAAATAATGCAACACGTCACTTTCATAACGAGCAAGTTGCCCGTAATTGCTACAGATTTGAGGTAAAGTGAAACAATAGGTCTATGAGCAGGAAATTCAGATCAAAATTGTGTTATCAGTTTGAACTCAAAGCGCGTGCAAAACAAGACTCAACAATAGCAATTGACGTACATTATGTATCTATTTGGGATATTGATAGCAGGACTAGTTAAAATGATAGTAATAATAATAAATTAGAAGGTGAGTAAATAATATTACCTGTTGTGTCAGACACGGAAACAGTAAATAAAGATGTCTTGGTTGTAACTGACTCGGAAATTGTCGGTGATGCATCGGGAAGATTCACAAACGTCGGTGGCTTTGTGATAAATTCAGAATAGAGAATAAATTTTCATTTAAAGTTACACATTGTCATAAGTTTTATCGAAAAAACGAAAAACAACAAAAAACACGTTGAGTTAGATTCATGGTTGCTTTCAATACTTTTTTGATACAACCAGCGTTTAAAACGTCATGAGGATACTGAACATACCAACGCTGAGTGAACATATTAAATAAATTGAAACCTGGCATGTTAACATTATGAAAATATTTCGAAACTGAAGAAAAGCACTTGATGTTTTAGAAAATAAATACAATAACAAACAAACAATTATTCAGTCACAATTCATTTAACATTTTCTTTATAATACTCTCCGCCTTTTTCAGTTCCATTATACGTATATTCATTATTTTATTAGGACTTTGGCGAAGTATATAATAAATTTTATTGCACTGCGTAATATTTGCAACCATTTTGTTATCGCTATTTTCATTAGACGTTTGGAAAATAATCAGCCAATCGAATATGTCGTTTCACCTTTCAAGCCAATAAGTCATATTGATTGATAAAAATACCGAGTCCCAGACTATAGATTAACAACCGGGTGACATTGAAAATAATCGGTGACATTTTATTAAGTGTAAAATAAAAGACTATATAATTATAAGATTTAAGCATAAGATATAGATGCAAACTTGAAATAATTCGCTGGAAGAGTTACTCAGAATTGAGAAACGTGCTTTGCTTTCTATACATAAAAATGAAAAGATATAAAAGCAAAATATTCTTCAAGAGATATTCAAAGTGGACGAGATAACTCACGGTGTTTTCGAGGTTAACTGTGTAGGTCTCGGTTTGGGTATATGCTGCACCATCATCGCATACTATAGGGACGTCATGAGACGAGGCCGTTTCAAAGTTCAGAGAAGCCGGTGGAGCACCCCTATACCATATCTCAAATTCTACAAAAAATACAAATATAACTGGGAATGAAATGTGAGCAATTACTATAAACTCATACTACTGAAAACATGTGCAGCCGCACTTTTTGTCTTTTTCACATTCATTGTTTGTTTATTGTTAATTGGACTTCCGTCAGTCTTTCAAAACTAACGTGTTTATGCAAGTATGTTATAGAAGACAATTGCGGCACCATGTTCGTCTGTAAAATTTGACAAAACGTTTAGGTCATTTAATTATAAATTAGTATATGCTTGATGATTTTTTACGGTAATTCGGACGGACAAAATACAATTTGTTATATCATTAAGATTCCGATAAAACAACTAATATCATAGACTTAGATAATATATTTGATTATTTACCTGGTGGGGTTCCCGCTCTGACTTCAAAATGCGTTGCATCAGCAGATCCTGCATCAACTGCACAATTAATAGTATCGTCTGAATCGGCCACAGAGAATGTATACAAGGATACTGCCGCTGTTTCCGCGTCTGACAATGTTGAGTATGGCGTTGCAGTCGGTAATCCGGTCCATACTGGATCCTGAAAAAGTAGGAAACTTGTTGATTTCATAATGTTTGGAGATTTACCTGTGTATTTGTTTGTTTGTTTTTGGGTTTTACGTCACATCAACACAGTATAGGTCATATCGCAACGTTCCAGTTTTACTGATGGAGGAAGACCTCAGGTGCCCTTCCGTGCATTATTTCAGGCACGAACGGGCACCTGAGTAGAACCACCGACGTTCCGTAAGCTAGCTGGATAGCTCCCTCACATTAAAGAAGCCAAAGTCCCTGTCGGGATTCGAACCCACAGCGGTGAGGGGCAAGTGGTTTGAAGTCAACAACCTTAACCACTAGACCAAGGGCGCTCCTTTACCTGTGTAATTTTAATTCGTGTTTCTATGTTTTGTTTGTTTGTTCATTCATATGTTTTAAAAACAATTTCAATAAGAAGGGTTCTAGTATTTGGTATAAGTAAAACGTTACTCGGCACTTCAAGGAAACAAAATAAGACGTATTCGTTTAAAATCAAATGACACGTCTCCTCCAAGAAACAATCCAAATTAAATCTTAACATATTAACAGATTCATATTCATAAACAAAGTCACTCTCCTAAGATTAATTGTGAACATATACGTTAACTACCAAATGAAAATTGTGGGTAATTATTATGAGTTTTTAAGATTCCACATTCATAGGCAAGGTCAAAGTTTTCTTTCAATCACAATCCAAAATTGAATGTCCAAATGTCAATAACAATTATAAGTTCTCGATAGTCAAAGAATAACAATGATTTTTTGGACTACTGAGTATATAGTCAATTAAAAAGTAAGTTTAAGTGTCTCAGTTATCATTTAAGATATACTGTGCTCAAATTTAATATTGAAATTATTGATAATTGTTACAAAGTCTCTTTGTAAATTTAAAATAAACATGTTTTGTTTTCACACAAAGTAGATATGTTATGTTTGAAATTCTGGTCATGATATGAATATATATTGTCATTAAAAACACTGGCAGATTTTTTTTAAAGAAAAGACCAGATTTACTTATCATGTTATATGGAAAGCAGTTTCCCATACATTGTTTACTCAATTTATTCAAATAAGACGAAGTCCGTAAGAATTTCATCGATTTCAATAAATTTCGGTCACTAAAATATTTTATTCAATGATGAACATAATACTGTGAGAGAAATTTGGGATAAAGATAATTCTAGCAGACAAACCTGTGCCTGAAAGCAGTCTGTTGAGGTCTTATACTGTAGTTTGCTAATAATAGCTGTATTGTTTTTCAAACGCATAAAATAATATTTATTGGACCAGTCAAAATTAAAAAGAAAAATAACCAGCAAATGGGAACTTTCCATCAAATTTCAGATAACGATTACAGGTAATCGGTAATGATTTTCAAATGAAAGAGAGAAAAGCTCATTCAAATCAAGCAGTTGAGGTGCTAAAATAGCTACCTCATCAAATATTTCCACAGTGAAATCCTCAGTTATAGGTGTCGTTCCGTCAGTACATGTGACTGTTACAGGTACCGAGGCAAGAGCGTCAAAATTTAAATCATTGGCAGCCAGAAGCCAGATCTCGAAGCCTGAAAAGGAAGAAAAAAACAACAACAAAACTCTTTTTAGGACAGAGGAACAATAACGTTGGACAATGTATATCTACAAAAAGCTTAAAGCTGTTTGAATCAAATATTTAACAAGCAAGTAAAGAAGATGAAACCTTTTTAGCTCATGTACTTTGTTTTCACTTCATATGCATTTAATTCAAATGGCAATACACGAACCAACTGATTACTGTGCAGAAATAAAACATGAATCCAAGTTGCAGTTCAGTGTGACAATGTCCCCTATGGGGCATATAGGAGATAGGCGGTACGATATGAACAGCAACATATAAAAAAAGGAATTAAACGGCCTTTATTAAACCATCTAACTTGGAGTAATACCACAAAAAGACAAGTTGTTACAGTTTGTCAGTTTTGTAATGACATTACTTGGAATAGTTCATGTTGTTATAGGCAAGCACCAGCAATAATAATGCAAAAACGGGTATCAAGGATCTTGTTCTATCTTTAAAGGTAAATCAATATACATTAAAATACATCTCTGACATCGTTGGGATGGCGGTAAAGCCAACAAAAAAGATCAGAGAACAAACCTATAATATTGTCCAGAAAAATGTCAATGATATTTTATTGTTACGCCATTTAACATGTAACAATGTAGCCTGGGTTCCAGTTTGTCGATTATTTTATGTGCTTCTGTTCGAAAAATCGACATCGATATTATTAAAACAGATCGAATATCAAATAGCGCATATGTTATGAATAAGCAAAAAATATCAACGCCTGAATGGCAGGCTAGTAACAATGTTCCCATGACTTAAAATAGAGAAAAATCGAAATCCCTAAAGAACGCCCAAAACGACAAAATTGAAAATGTTGCAGGCTTGGTTTGATTGAGCAAATAAAGACAACATCAGCGAATAAATGCACAAAGTTGCTGGTGTACATCTAATAAGTACCTGGTGATGTTCCCCGTAGTTCAAAATCATCATCATACGGAGCTGTGGCGGTGTAAGAACATGTTATAGTTGCAGACGCAGTGTCTGTCACAGAGAAGCTATGTAATAAAGTATCAATGTCAGTGGCATCGGATATCGCCGGCGCCAGTGTTGCAGGCATATCAACGAATACAGGAGGCTAAGCGAAGAAAAATCAGCTCAGATTAATTGAAAATACACATAAAATAATACTGAAAAAAACTAAAGCTTACCCTTAATTTGATTCCCTTTAAAGTTGCCGTCAATTTAATTAAGGATAGTCAATTCAAAGATTTCTTTTAAGTGAGTATATGACACAAAATGAAAGCAATTAAATATTTGTGACAGTAAGGAATAACACCAAAGAAATGCACTGAACAGTACATCCTAGAATTGTTTCTTTACTTCATACAAGATACGGTATATTCTGTATGTATAAATGTTTGTTGTGTATTCAAAATTTACCATATTTACAATTACATTTTTAAAAGCATTGTATAACTTTCACTTGTCAATTAATCGTTTTCATTTGTTATTTCTTCTTCGCAATCTACTTCATTCACTATATTGTCTTTCACTCTTCTCCTCTTCACTCCTCACCACACCTCATCTCACCTCTCGTCACCTCACCTCACCTCACATCAACTCTTTTCTCTTCACCTCACCTCACCTCACTCCTGCTTACCTCACCTCATCTCAAATCTCTTATCATCACTTCATCTTAGCTCACCTCAACTCAGCTCACCTCACCTTACTTCACCTAACCTTTTCTCACCTCAACCCACCTCCCCTTCAATCACCCCACCTCTCCTATCATCAACTCAGCTTATCTCTCCTATCACCACCTCACTCCTCACCTTATCTCATCTCACCTCTCTTATTGGTTTATACGGAATTTATTTTAGTTCGATTGTGTAGGAAGCTATAAGCTTATAGACACACTTTCGAATCCGTTCCTGGAACCAACCAGTACTGAGCAATGAGTGTAAAGTTTCTTGCTCAAGGAAACAGCGACTTGCCTCTGACGGGGTTTGAACCCATACGGCTAGCGATCATTAGATCACCTCTCTTATTATCACTTCATCTCACCTCAAAGCACATCATCTATCTTCAACTCACCTCATCTCACCTCTCCTCTTTGACCTCACTTCACCTCTCCTCAACTCACCTCAACTCACCTCACCTCACTTGTTAATTTTCTCATGCTCTCATACTTGTAATATTTAACCCCGTCATCCGCATACCAAGTTACTTATGAAGTAGATATAAGGATATATCACATAGTGTATACAAGTGATATTATATGGTCGTAAAAGAATATATCACATACTGTATATTAGTGATACTATATGGCCGTATAAGAATATATCACATACTGTATCTACGAGAGGTACAGTCACTGTACCGCTGACTGTATTCCCAGCCTCGTCATCGTCACAATGTACCACTACTTCATACGGCGCTGATGCTGTTTCTAAAGTCTGTCCTATTACGGTTTTCACATCCATATCTTTAGTTAAATGCGCATAATATACGTTATTCATATATTAAAACTATATATATATATATATATATATATATATATATATATATATATATATATATATATATATATATTTATAGTTGATTATTCTTAAGTTTTGAGAATTCCGTTTAAGAGTTCGGTATACAACAAAGCGATAAATGTTAAAGTTTAACAAATAGAAATTTCCACGTTTAGAAGATTGCCTACATTTAGACGATTGCCACTATCTACGCAAAACGACCACCTCTTTAAATACTGAACTTATTATGGTGTAAAATTATTTTATCTAGAGATCAATTGTCACCGTCTACCTGAAACAAATTGTTGTCAACTTACCAAATTGCCGGAAGAATACAAATGACACGCACTAAAGGTTTGCAAACGGTCCTAATTTCTATAGAATGTGATAATGTAGCAAGCTTACATTTTTGTAATTTTTACCATTTGAAATTATTTGCATCTGTTGTAAGAGAAGGTAAACATAGTAAACTATTCAATTACTTGGTGGTGCTCCTGTTAACTGGAAAAGTGCAGTATTTGGCGCTTGAATTGTACACGCTATCGGGACTGCAGTGACGTCATTGGCGTCGGTCACGGTTAATGACGCAAGCGTTATCTCGGCCGCTTGTACACCGTCACTAACTGACGCCGTTGTTGTTATGTCCAAACCTGTCAGCGTTGGTGCCTTAAATATGAAATCAAAATAGATAATACAATTACTGGGTAATGAATGTGTATGTTGCACAGTTTTCATAACTAAAAGGACACATACCATTTCGAAGATAACGAAAATGAATACATGCATTAACTATGTTTAAGTCAGGTTAATTTCGTACCGGACTTGTAATATCAAAGACCGACTTTCAAGTCATTTAAGCAATCATAATACCCAGATCATGAATAACTATCATCTCTATCATATTATCTAGATAGCGTACCCACTTAGTCATGATCGAAATTTGATCCTGCATTGAATTAAACATAGCCTTTTTTCCTTCTTGGCTAACACATTTATTGCGCCAACAAAAAGCAAAGGTTGTTATTTATCTTTTTTGGGCAACTACGTGTGGACAGTTGACATGACAACATAAGTACTTGAACGTTATAATAACATTGAAATCAATAAGTAACGTTATGTGATACAAAAATTGGGCTTCATGCCGTCGTCGACTGCATGACGTCGTTTTGTACCTCATCGGATAACGTCACCGTCAATGTATTCGTAACCGCAGTATTTGTGCCGTCGTCGCATGATATCGTTAACGTATATGTTGGCGTCGTGTCTTCGTTGAGGGTCGCCGCCGTCACGATGTCGTACACTAAAATGACAAAATGTACATTTTTTTCTCGGTTTTTACAGTAAATAAAGTTCAGTATGTTTGTTTCCCTATGATTAAATAACAATGTAAATACAATGCCGCAAGACAGCCACTGTAAAGATTTGATTTTTATTATGCTTTCTCAAAGTTTGCCTGATAAATATTGAATGGAAACATTTGATGATAAATGGGGCTACAGTACTCCATTTTGGAAATAGTTCTGTAAAAGAAATAAAACTATTTGCTCGGTGCATTACAACATGGGTGGGTTTTTTGTTGTTTTTGTTGTTGTTGTTCTTTCTGGAGGTTTCTTACGACAGATAACGATAATGGCTGAGTTTGAAACATTGGATATATGTATAGTCTAAATGTCAAAATCATTTTTTAAGAACAGACAAGAACACTACAGTCTTAATAAAGGTGTACAGATCTGAGGTGATATTAAATATCAAAAAATACTGATCCTTTTAAAGAACACAATATGGGCGTCTTACATTGCGTTCCAGCAGTGGCAGGATTAAGCTCTGTGATCGAAAAATCGGCGTTCGATACCGTACAAGTATTCGGATCATCTTGATCAGTAACGGTAAACTGAAAGACCGAAGTTCCTATGGCGGTCAGGTCACCTATGGGGCCAGTCGTTCCTCCTAGGTTAGCAAGAACTGGTAGCTGAAACAGAGTAGATGTGATAAAGAAGAATAAAATATATACAGCAGTTCTTACTCAGTTCAATCTGATTAAAATCAGCTTCTAATTAACGCTTCGCATTAGGATCTGACAGGCACCAATAGAAAATCACCTTCTCGTGATCTTTCAAACAGCCAATCATCGGTGAGCTTTCACAATTTTGAAATCGTCCAGGAACGGTGACAAGAATTAACTACTGGCGGTGGCGCAATGATACTATAACCTAAACAGATGGATGCACAAACTAATTTAATCACTTGGTGATGATTACACAGCTGCTCGCCTTAAATTAAAATGACCTTTTATTCAGAGTGCAAACAATAATTATGAAAAATATTGTCAGTCTAATACAGCTATTAACTCTTGATATATGATTAAAATTAGGCAGAATTATAGAACATACTACAATATACTTACTTCATCAGATATTGGCACAGAATACGACCTTGTTATAGTGGTTGTTCCGTCGGTACATGAAATTGTCATGGTTTCCGTCGGCGTAACATCAAAATTCAAGTCTGTAGCTAACACATTTTTTAACCAAATTTCGTGATCTAAAAATAAACATTAAATAAATGAACTTATACAAGCATATTTAAAACAAACACGCATATTATGTTTATAAATATCAAAGTCTCTAAATGCATTACTCTTCAAAAAGATTAGACTTCAGACAGACATTATTTAATATTTTAAGGAAAGTGAATTCCTCACGGTACAGTTAATTCTTCAATCGTCAAACATCGGCCATTTCGGTATACTTCTGGCACGTACGCAGAACACACATCAACGCAATTCGCCCAGGTTATTAGGCAGGGAATGATCATCCACCAGAAAGTAACAAATGACGAATCCCACAGTATTTCTCTTTCTAGAACCTTCTTCTACTATTGTTTTCTTTTCAAATGACCCGAATATAATGGAAAACAATAAATAAGGACTGAGTCGTGAAAATTTACAACTGACATAAGTTAAATTAAACAAACAAAATGGCGGAATCTTTTCCTACCTTAGGAGGCCGCCATTTTACCATGTGACAGGAAGTCTCCATTATGTCTCCTTACAGTGGCGGAGGTTTATATTGCGAAGCATAAAAACAGCAAAACGCGTAGTAGTGATCCGATTGGCCAATCGGTTAAATGAAAGGGTCCTTATGACACAGTCTGTATGATACAGCTTTTTACTTAAACCACGGACCGTATCAAAAGTCCGAAATAAAACGGATGAGGTACTTAAGAAAGCTCCTGGAGAAGGTATTTAAAGATACTCACTAGGTGGCACTTCTCTTATTTCGAATTTTGCATTATCTGTAGTACATGTGACTGATCCTGTATCCACCACCGAGAAGGCGTATATACTTGTTGCTAAAGTAGTGGCGTCACTTATTGTTCCACTGTATGATGTGTCGGGCGTTGAAGGGTCAAACGTCGGCACCTGAAATGGATCCAAACTATAATAAGGCATGCCGATAACACGTCGAGACTTTACAATCGTAATTTTTCGATCATTTGCATCGAATTTGTGTATGATCACGAAAACTGTATTATGATCAGCAAGAGGTTCCGAATCTGAATTTAAGACAAAATTGTTATAGAATACCAACTTTTAAGACATAAAAAGGATGCATAAACATCTTCAATGGAAAGGTACAAAAACGTTTCTTTTTTTGTTAAAAAAATAACTGTCCAACTTATGTTCCAGTCAATAATGCAATTACGGTCTATCAGCCCCTGGGAAGGGTAGTTGACAGCGTGGAAAATGAGTCACGGCGTATCCACATGCATATCTATTTTCCTTTTCTTTCTTTCATTTTTTTCATGTTAAAATAATTACTCACGGCATCTGTAACTGTTACGTCAAATGTGCCCGTTTGCGTGTTTTGACCGTCATTGCAGGTCATCGTTAGCGTATATGACGTTCCTGAGGTCAAGGCCGCCGCCGTCTCGATATCAAATCCTGAAATTCCATAAAAAAGAGAATACTGTGGTAGGATACTACGTCATGGCGCACCTGCAAAATCCTCCGAATTGGAAAAAACAACCTTCAAAATGTATTTATTCTAATAAATCGTTATAATACCAAAGAATAATGTAGCGCACCAAATATTGATTTTGGTACCTAATATAATTTTTAAGAACGTTTAAAGTTTTACTGCCTAATTTAGTCGAGTTTTTGCCAAAATGCTCCCACTCGGACTACCAAACAAAATTTACCCCCTTTTTTTGTATTATTATTTTTCTCTTTTTTTCGTAGTAAGACCACTTAAAATGATTTAAGTTTCATTTGGACATGTGTATGAGAGAAATGTACTCGTATGTCTTTCAAATGGAATTGACGTCTAGAAACCGGACCCTCTGAAAACTGGAATCCACTGAAAACAGGAAAAAAAATTAAAGTCCTGTATTTCCTCCTTATAAGTTCATTAAAAAACTCTAAATACCGGGAACTCTGAATGGCTACAAATGCTTAACATGCATTAAAAAACTTCTGAAAACCGGACTCAACTTTCAGTGTATCTAAAAATAATCATACGTTGTGTTCCTGCAGCTCCGTCTACTGCTGTAACCGTAAAGTCTCCGTTATCGACGGTGCACGTGACAACGTCATCTTGGTCGGTGGCGGTGAATTGGTGAATCGACGTGCCAATAGCCGCACTGTCACTTACGGTCGTCGATCCTCCAAGGTTTGACAGAGTCAGCGGCTGAAAGATGACAAAAATCAACCCTATACATCATATTTTGGCTTGTCATAAAGATTTTTGACAGGTTTTATGGCTCTATATAAACGGCTGTTTGAAAATATAACCCGATCCGCTAGGTTAGCCACAGTCATGTAACCTGTGAAGAATATTAATAACGAATTTATAATACATCAAACTTCATTTTTTTTTAAAAAGTGAGATTTCTTTGAAAATTGACAGCAGCCGTGTATATAAAACTTTATAATACTGCACGTTTGTAACGTCATTTTTCATTGGATAATCGTGACGTTTATATAGTTTTATATACAAGGCTGCTGTCGATTCATGAAGAAATCTTACTTTTTTTCTCTAAAAATGATGCTTGCTGTATTATAAATTCGTTATAAAGATTGTTGACAGGTTATATGGCCGTATATAAACGGCTGTTTGCAATATAACCCTCGCCTAACGGCTCGGGTTATATTTACAAATAGCCGTTTATATAGGGCCATATAACCTGTCAACGATCTTTATAACTAATAATATAAACGTCACGATTTTCCAATGAAATGTGACGTTAAAACGTGCAGCATTATATAAAAAAACTTTATAGTACCATCAATATGTTTTAAATTCTTTTATTTTAAATATCTATAGATAAATGCAATTGCATTAAGTTACTGGAAAAAAATCATTAAAAAGGGGGTATCACAATATTGCTATTGATGCCTAAAAAACAACAATAAAAACATGAAAGATTAAAAGAAGAGGAAAAAACTCAAACTGATAAAAGAGCGGGAAAACACTGTGATAAGTTACCTCATCGGATATATTAACAGTATACGGATCTCTCAGGACCGCAGTAGTTCCGTCAGTACAACTTATTGTTATTACTTGAGTAGTGCTGCTATCATAATCCAGATCTCCCGCCGCTACATTTTTCAGCCAAAGTTCCTTGTCTATAAATAGCACATAGTCAACAACAACAAAATAAACACGCACACAAGTTCTATATAAAAAAGGAAAAGAAAAGGAAAAAAGAACAACCAAAAAACAAACAACAGCTTATTTTTCCTTTTTTTAAAGGATCAGGGAGTTCTGGCTAAACTTGGCCAAGATCATATTTTGCTTATTTGTACAGTGTATCGTTAGGGTCATCGCGACGATAAGGAAAAATCGAAAGTACGATGATGAAATGTCGAAACCACGACGGTGAAAAGTCGAAACTACGATGGAGAATAGTCAAAATAACGGTACAACGAAACCATGATGGTGAAAAGTCGAAACCACGACAGTTAAAACACGAAACTGTATCGAGTTTTCATCATTGCGGTTACGCTATATCGACTTTTCGTCATCGTACTGTCGACTTTTCATAATAGCACATTCGACTTTTCACCATCGTTGTTTCGTTATTTTACCATTTTCACTATCGTAAGTTCGTGATTTCGTTGTTTCGAGTCAAGTGTGAGTCGCGATGGTCCCAACTAGACACCGTATATTTGACATCAATACTGGTAAGTGTTAAGAAATGGATCTGGCAGATGGTTTCATTAAGTTTCAAATGTTTATCACATTCAAGCTATAAACAAAACTAAAAACAGCAAATAGAATGCTTAAAACTTACTTGGCGGGCTTTCTCTTATTTCAAACAGCGCGTTATCTGATGTACAGGTGACTGGTTCTGTATCCGTCACTAAGAAAGAGTAAATTGACGTAGCAGTAGTGGTCACGTCACTAATTGTCCCAGCATAGGCGTTGTCAGGCGTCGACGGATCATATACAGGCGGCTATAAAGTAAATTTGAATGTTTAAGATGAAATTTACAATGTAAATCAACAACTGTAATGATTCATTGAAGACAAATACATGTACATGCGTATATCTGATGGCATTTGGTCTTTGTTTAGTTTGCGGTTGGCAAATATTTTGATATTTTATCCATTGTATTAAACTACTTATCCCAGTTTTGGAATAGGTAACGTATCGTATTATCTTTGAAGTGGAACATATAAACCTTGTTTATCATCAAAATGTGTACATATATAATATATGCTTTCCCCATCTTGTATTTTGCCAGGGATGTGTTGTTTCGCGCGGAATCGTGTTGCACAGGTTCGATATAAATATATTTAGTCCGTGACGCACGACATCCTGGTACCAGTATTCATCGTTGTTACCAAACAAATGCGCAGAAAGAATAGTGGATCAAAATGTCATAAAAATTATGTCATTCAGATTCCAGTTTCTCTGTATGATATGCAGGTCCACATTTCAACATGGACATTGTTCATGTCCGTCTTGCCGAACACGTTATGCCATCTTCTATATTACAAACTGACTGTAACCTTGAAACTTGAATTGTTCACAGTAATTATGATGTACTGTGTACTACGGTCAAATAATGACCCAGATGATAGGGGCATATACGAACTCAACCTTTTTCGAAAACCATAAGTACAACAGTAAATGCGTATCAAAACTGTAAACCCTTGTCAACCTGCACATTGTTGAGACTATAAACAAAATCATCTCGACCAAAACTAGTGAAAAAAAATCTCAGCGATAATTTTGTTTTAACATTATCAATTTCATTTAAAGATCCTGTAACACAATTTTTATGATATTTTTATCTTAAATATGATGGTCAAATTTAGATCTATCAATTATGTAAATTCTAAAAAAGCATAATTTATTAAGATATTACCGAATTTAACATTTCATGTAAATAAAGGAAGGTAATAAAAATATTTTCTATAAAGACTAACTCTTTTTTTAATAAGAAATGAATGCATATATATTTTAATGATTACACATAATATAATTATACAAATATATGCAGTACAATTTTTACATATTCTGCGATGTTTGAAAATTGTTTGATACGCATAATTATATACATATATATATATATATATATATATATATATATATATATATATATATATATATATATATATATATATATATATATATATATATATATATATATATATATATATATATATATATATTCATTTAAGTGTGGTACACAACCTCAATTACAGCATGCATATTCTTTAAAATCATAAACATGAATACAATCCTTACTCCTTACAGTAAAGTTTACATTAAATATTGTGCATTAAATATTGTGCATAACATAATTTTGAAATTGATACATTGTACACTTAACCAAATAGCATTTTTCAAAGACATGTTCATAAAAATAAATAATAAATTATAATATAAATGAGCCGCGTCACGACAAAACCAACATAATGCGTTTGCTACCAGCATGGATCCAGACCAGCCTGGGCATCCGCGCAATCTGATCGGGATCCATGCTGTTCGCTATCAGTTTCTTTACTTGTTATAGGGTTTGTAAGCGAACAGCATGGATCCCGATCAGTCTGCACGGATGCGCAAACCCATTTTAGTTGGTTTTGTCGTGACGCGGCTTAAATATTCTAGTGTTGGTGACATGTGCTGTATTTACCGGATTTTGTACAGTGATTGTAACAGTAGTGGTTGCAGTGTCTTCACATATATCTGTTGCCGTGATTTCTAGGTCATATGTGCCGGCTGTCAAGCTTGCTCCACTTTGAATTACAACTGGAACAATCATATTAAACAACTGTAAGGTTACAAAAAAAGAAAGAAAAAGGAAAAGAAAAAAATACAAACACACACTTTTTTCTGCCCCACAATGTAGGTAAAACCTCAATTTGCATAAGTTAAGTTGACACATTGACCTCGCCAGGTCAGGTCAACGGGAGCATACACACACGCATACACACGCACGTACACACACACACACACACACACACACACACACACATTGTAAGATTACAAATATACGTAAATGTTATAAGTTGATTTCTTTCTTTATCATTTATTTAATTTTCAAAAAAAAAAATAATTTAGTTAAATTATTCAATATCGAAATAGTTCGCAGTGCATGCAAGTTTACGCTTGAGCAAATGTATTGTAATATGAAAGCCTTATCTGCAATATGATAGTAAAACTTCAACTTGAAATTGAAAACAAAGACAAAGATAGAGTTAGTATGCATCTTTAGTTAGCTAAAATGGCGACATGTTTTCCCCGTGTATAAATTAATAGTATAAAACAAGAATTGGCATGACAGAAGTGTCACAAATGCCGCTTATCAACATCACCTGTGCTTGAAGGAAAATGCAACAATACTAAGCGGTGGCTCTTTCAGGTGTTGGTGATCAGTTTAAATAAAACCCTCCCTTGACACTAGTCTACCGTCGTAGAGCCCGCACTAACACGACATACTGTACTTAAAATCAAGATATATTTCTTAAATAATACAGACTATTATACTTACAGTTTGTACCATCATCGGCAATGGAGAAGTCAGATGTGGTGGGGCTGGTGTTTGATATAACAACAGTAGTGTCCGTGAGAAGATCTGCGGTATCAGGGTCGGCGATCGCGAGAGTGTGAACCGTCTGGGATGTGTCAGTATCGGATATGGTCTCCGAACCTCCCGTAATTGTCGGTGGATCATCTGAAATGCATCAAAAATGTCAGTTTGTAAAATATGAATCTTTATATGGGTATATATTTTATTTTCAAAAGTAAACCAAAAGTCCTTATTGATGCAGCGCAAGACATTTTAAGGGAGATCAATTTACAACATTGGTTTTGCCTAAAGCAGCATGACTCCAGATTCATGATCACTTTCACGAAAATTTTGAAAATGTTTTTAAAAGTAAACTATTGTGCAGTGAACAAATAAAATAATTTATGCACTTACATGTTTATTACCAAAAAGAGGTCAAAATCAGTCATTAATCGCAAACAACATATAAACTTATACTTTGAATCTTGAATTTTTTTACTTTTTTTAAAAGTTTGATTTTCTTGGCATAATTTGAAAAGCATGCAGCTTTAAGCTTAGTATCTCAAGGTTGTTTTTGATTTGTTTTTTGTTTTTTTTTTTGAAAATTGTTGCCTTATCTCAAGGCATTCAGCTTTAAGCTCTTGTTTCCCAAGAATAAATAAATGTTTGAATACCCAGGAGGCATGCAGCGTTAAGTTTTTATCTTCGAAAAATAAATGAGCCGCGTCACGACAAAACCAACATAATGGTTTTGCGACCAGCATGGATCGAGACCAGCCTGCGCATCCGCACAGTCTGATCAGGATCCATCCTGTTCGCTATCAGTTTCTCTACTTGTAATAGGGTTTGTAAGCGAACAGCATGGATCCTGATCAGACTGCGCGGATGCGCAGGCTGTTCTGGATCCATGCTGGTCGCAAACCCATAATGTTGGTTTTTTCATGACGCGGCTCATTTTTGGAATTCATACTTGGGACCACAACAGCTCCGAATGCATACGTCACTGTCGTATCCGGTGTCTGGCCCCATGGCGTCTCGGCGTTCAATGTCGGAGAAAGGAGCTGTGTTTGCGTACTCGAACCTGCAGTGGCGCTGTATGGAATAATCTCAGCACCGGTCGTTCTCCTGTAAAATTGTGTGTATTTTATCAACATGCAAATGTCAATACATGTTCTGTTTTAAGTTTTAATGTAACCCTATATTACCCTACGTCATAAAGTTTCTCCTAATACTAAAGGATGCGCTTTTCGTATTTGTACATGAAAAAGGAAATATTACTATTTCTATTCGCTGTGACCCTATGTCAAACCCAATAAGGATCCTCTCGAATAGAATACTAATAATACGATGCACTTTTCGTAGCTGTTACCATACAGAGCTCATCGGTGATCTCTATCTGATGCATTTCGCCAAGGAAACTTGACGAGGGGCTGTTCTGAGAATCTGTTGTTTTTTGTCAGGCTAGACCTACATCTAACGGAACATTAATCTCGGAAAAAATTCTCAAATATCTGATACAGCTATAGAAATCACAATGGACTCGCCTGGCTGACGGCTTGTCCGATATGGTTTCTTTAACTGTGTACTCGTCAACTTACATTCCCATATTGTACAGTTAATTGTTAAATAATCTATAATAATTTATACAACCGTAGACCATCTTTGAAAATGCTTTGTAACTCACCATCCGACTACATCTCCCACCTCGACAGCTAGGGTTGTTGAAGGAATAGGGGTGTTCAAACCAACATTAACTGTAATTAAAAGAATAAACATGCATTCGAATACATTTTACGTTGCCAAAACAAGCAGGCTCGCAGTCTATAGTTAACTATAAAGAGGCCACGAGTGTAGAATGGAGTAGTGGCCTAGTGGTTAAGGTAGCTGCCTCTCGCCCCAGGGATAATGGGTTCGAGGGGGTGCGGCTTATTTTCAAGTCGTGATGTTTCCGAGTGAAATGAAGTCTCGCCCGATTTCAAAAACATAAATTTTGAGACAAGTTATTTTCGAGACAAGCTTATTATTGGATGTTTAAAAAGTATATAAATAATAACTAATAATGAATATACTGTACCGTTATAATCTTCCATGAATTCAAGTCTGTAGTTACTTCCCGTTGTCGGTCTCCACAACATTGCCGTCACTGTTCCGGCAGAACTTGCGTACATTTTCCAATTTGCCATTGTTCCGCAGCATGTTGATGTCGAGCCGTCAATGAAAAACGAGCGCCCATCTTTAAACAAATGATAATTAATTGTTACAGTAAGTGATACTGTAAACTGTTACCTTTTAAAATTGTCTGTTGAAAGTTTTTTTTTTATTTCTGCAAAAATTGTTTGAAAACCATTTTTTTTTTTCGTTGCTACAGATGTTCCATTTGTTTTTAAATGTTAAAAGATGTTTTGATACTGTGTTTCAAGGGGCGTAGGGTCAGGGTCTGACCCCGAAACGCTTGTAAATAGAAAATGTTTTGTTGCTGGCGTAAATATGTTATTTACGCCAGAAGAAAATGGTTTTTCAAATGAGAACTCAAGGGTAATAAGATAATCTTTCAAAGTTCTAATATTGTCTTCCGTCACATTGATTAATAGTTGGAAGTTTAAAATAGTACAAGCTTTAACTTTAGGCCTATAGTTACCTGTGCTTGCCCCGGTAGTGGTCGTGTGCGAGCCAGGATTTGATGTACCAATATCACAACTGTCTGAAATTGAGGTCAAAGCAGAGAATGAACAAGATTTATATATACACACAGGATAAAATTTTCATGATCTAGTGATATTCGCAATATAGATGCAAGATAAAAAAAAATGAAAAAAATAAATGATATACGAAAATATAAGAACCTTAGTTCGTTGATCAGTAAATTAATCATTTCCAGTGGATTTACCAATAATCATTTAAATAATCATTTTATCATGCATGAATGCATACGGAGCCCCTAAGGTGACATTCTCGACACTTTTACCCCGGCATTTAATTCGTTTTTACGAAATATTAATTCGTTTTTACGAAATATCAATTCGTATTTACGAAATATTAATTCGTTTTTACGAAATATTATTTCGTAATAACGAAATATTAATTCGTAAAAACGAAATGTTATTTCGTTATTACGAAATAATAATTCGTTTTTACGAAATATTAATTCGTATTTACGAAATATTAATTCGTTTTTACGAAATGTTATTTCGTAATTACGAAATATTATTTCGTAATTACGAAATATTAATTCGTAAAAACGAAATATTATTTCGTTTTAAGAAATAATAATTCGTTTTTACAAAATATTAATTCGTTTTTACGAAATAATAATTCGTTTTTACGAAATATTATTTCGTAATCATGAAATATTAATGCGTAAAAACGAAATGTTATTTCGTAATTACGAAATATTAATTCGTTTTTACGAAATCTTATTGAGCTTGATAAAGCACCTACTTATCTCACAAATGGGTTATTTACAAGCCTTGATCAACCTTGCGATTATATCAAGTTATTATATTTAAGTGAACAGGGTTTTTGAGTGAGAAGTCATTCTCTATCCAAAATGGTCTATTTTCCCCATTGTCAAATACATGTTCCTATCAGCAATGTTTTAATGTTTGAGGCAATCTTTTATGATATGTTTTTTAAAACAGAAACATGCTATATTATTCCGTTCTTTTATCATATACATTAGTAAAACTAATGGGACGAGGGGGTGGGTTGGTCCAGATTTTCACTAATCTAATCAATTTAAAAAAGAATATTTCCTTACAATTTATTATTAGAAATGTCCGTGTTTCGATTTGAAGCACAGGACCACCATTTTAACTAAATTTTCCTAGCGCGTGTACTATCACGGCTGTGGCTCAACGCTATTGACAGGCGATTATTTTAATTTATGTACAATAGTGTAAAGTTAAAATACTTGGGGAGAACAAAAATCACTATTTATATTGCATGTACATGCATTATATTCAGTCAGGAACTTAGTTTTGAGGCCTTATTTATAACTATTACCAACACTCTTTGAAACCGTAGAAAAAATTTAATTCGTTTTTACGAAATATTATTTCGTATTTACGAATTATTATTTCGTAATTACGAAATAATATTTCGTTTTTACGAATTAATATTTCGTTATTACGAAATAATATTTCGTAATTACGAAATAATATTTCGTAAATACGAAATAATATTTCGTAAAAACGAATTAATATTTCATAATTACGAATTAATATTTCGTAATTACGAAATAATATTTCGTAATTACGAATTAATATTTCGTAAAAACGAATTAATATTTCGTAATTACGAATTAATATTTCGTAAAAACGAATTAATATTTCGTAAAAACGAATTAATATTTCGTAAAAACGAATTATTATTTCGTAAAAACGAATTATTATTTCGTAATTACGAATTATTATTTCGTAAAAACGAATTAAGTTCCGGGGAAAAAAAGTGTGGAAAATGTCATCTTAGGGGCTCCGTAAATGCATGCAATCAATCAATCAATCATTATTCTGATATACCCATTCATGAAAAAAATCCTCTGTTACATATCAATTTATTCTGCAGTAGCTATTACCACCGTAAAATGTATATAAACCTGGATGTAATATAATTCAAAAACTATTGAATGCAATTGATAATTACGGTGTTCCGTTTGGACACGTTTGGACAATCGTGACATTTTATTTATTCTGTACCCGCGATGCACGATGGTACGATGGTGAAAACGCGATGGCACGATAGTACGATGGTGAAAACACGATGGTACGATGGTGAAATCACGATGGTACGATGGTGAAATCGCGATGGCGCGATAGTACGATGGTGAAAACGCGATGTTACATCGCGTTTTCACCATCGTACCGTCGTGATTTCACCATCGTACCATCGCGTTTTCACCATCGTACCATCGCACCATCGCGCTATCGTGTTTTCACCATCGTGTCATCGCGCTTTCACCATCGTACCATCGCGATTTCACCATCGTACCATCGGGATTTTACCATCGTACCATCGCGTTTTCACCATCGTACCATCGCGTTTTCACCATCGTGCCATCGCCTTCCGGTGGACATGCGCATTGTACATCTTTATCAACAATGTATGAATGCATAACTATGTTTTATGTGAGAGGCTATACGTATCGAGACATTTTAAATATAGTGAGGCTTAAAACGGGATTTGATCTCAGCACAGACTATTTAATAAGAGTTGTGTATTAAGATTCAATCATTATAAAACCTTTATGCACTGTGCTTAATTCATCTTGTCTAGATATCTATAGCACAAATTTTTTAAGGTTTTATATCATAAATATGATGCTCAAATTAAGATAAGTTCCAAAAAGCATTATTTTGTAAAGATGTTACCGAATTTAACATTTCATGTAAATAAAGGGAGGTAATCAAAATTTATTTTCTGTAAAGTCTAAGTCAAATTTTTCAATAAGAAATGAATGCATATATTTTAATGATTACATATAATATGTATAAATATTTGCAGTACATATTTTACATATTCTCGATGTTTGAAACTTGTTTTATATTAAAGCATTATTATATAAATATATATAATTTCACTGAAGTGTGGTGTTAGCTCAACAGGTACAGCGTTGGACTGTGAATGTTGTGGTGATAGTTTTCACTTCCGATCATGACAATAAGCCACATTGAATTTACAAGAGCACAGTTCAACCACCGCATTTTCCTGGGCAGGCTGTCAAGCAGTTTACCAGTACTAGTTGCCTTCACTTTCGCAAGGAACTGAAACTTCTGCAGAGCAGAAACCAGTGTCAATGACCGTAGAAAGGATTTCATGATCAATTACAACGAAAGTGACATGCACCCGTCGGGGGAATCCAACCCGATCGCCCGATTTACAGTCCAACGCTGTACCTGTTGAGCTAACACCACACTTCAGTGAAATTATATATATTTATATAATAATGCTTTAATATAAAACAAGTTTCAAACATCGAGAATATGTAAAATATGTACGGCAAATATTTATACATATTATATGTAATCATTAAAATATATGCATTCATTTCTTATTGAAAAATTTGACTTAGACTTTACAGAAAATAAATTTTTATTACCTCCCTTTATTAACATGAAATGTTAAATTCGGTAACATCTTTACAAATAATGCTTTTTGGAACTTATCTTAATTTGAGCATCATATTTATGATATAAAACCTTAAAAAATTTGTGCTATAGATATCTAGACAAGATGAATTAAGCACAGTGCATAAAGGTTTTATAATGATTGACTCTTAATACACAACTCTTATTAAATAGTCTGTGCTGAGATCAAATCCCGTTTTAAGCCTCACTATATTTAAAATGTCTCGATACGTATAGCCTCTCACATAATACATAGTTATGCATTCATCCATTGTTGATAAAGATGTACAATGCGCATGTCCACCGGAAGGCGATGGCACGATGGTGAAAAACGCGATGGTACGATGTTGAAAACGCGATGGTACGATGGTGAAATCGCGATGGTACGATGGTGGAATCGCGATGGTACGATGGTGAAATCGCGATGGCACGATGGTGAAAGCGCGATGGCACGATGGTGAAAACACGATAGCGCGATGGTGCGATGGTACGATGGTGAAAACGCGATGGTACGATGGTGAAATCACGATGGTACGATGGTGAAAACGCGATGTAACATCGCGTTTTCACCATCGTACTATCGCGCCATCGCGATTTCACCATCGTACCATCGTGATTTCACCATCGTACCATCGTGTTTTCAGCATCGTACCATCGTGCCATCGCGTTTTCACCATCGTACGATCGTGCATCGCGGGTACAGAATAAATAAAATGTCACGATTGTCCAAACGTGTCCAAACGGAACACCGTAGGTAATACACGTGGACTTATCAAGAAAATAAATGTGTTTGATTAAAGAGTCGGGGGAAAAATACATAAGTGAATATTAACATATCAATGGATTGCGAGTAGATGAAATATATTTCATTAATATTTAACACGCTATCTTCATTTTCTAATAGAGTATAACTATAATGTGCAAATACAAGCCCGCAATTTAATATAAGAACAAATTTCGACTTACTCATGCTGTTTTAACGATTTCTTTTGTGTGTGACTACTTTTTATGCAAGTATTTCCACGAAACCTTGGTTATTTCTGATGCAATATTTCTATTCTTTTTATTATATATTTGAACATTTCGGAAATCCTGACTTGGTGAAATATCATAACACATAACAAAATATTAAAATGACTCTTTAAGTTAGTGATTAACCTTACTTGTATCTTCACCATTCACTAAAATCTTCACGAACTCGCAATTTCAACTTCATGAATTCACAATTTCAACATACAAACATCACGAATTCACAATTTTAACAGACAGAATTCACGATTTCAAGATTTCTCCTTGAATTCGTTAAGCTGAAATCGCGAATTCAGGAAGCTGATATCGTGAAGTTCAAAAGCTAAAAGTATATTTGAAAACGTGAATTAATGAAGTCAAAATTGTAAATTCACGAATTGATGAAAAGGAAATTAGAAATTCATATTCCGCCAAACTACACTGTTAAGCATGTTACTTCAAATTAAATTATATAATTTTATTTATGGTCTTGGTAAAAACCTTATTTATAATCAGAAATTCTTACTTGCTGTGTTGAGCACGAGTCCCAGTAACACAATAGCTAAACGGCTCGTACCAAACCATTGTTCCTTCCTGGAGTTGAGTGTCGCCATAAACATAACAGACAACACGATCTTGTCCTCAATTACCTAGTTTATATGATTTTCTGGTGACTAGAAATATAATCATAAAAAATCTTCGACGAAAACTTATTTTAAACAATGTAAGTTTTAGAGGTCAGAATTTCAACCGTTTTGTAACATCGCCACTTTAGAGGTCAGAATTTCACCCGTTTTTAATAAACACCACTTAAGTGTTAAGAATTCCACTCGTTTTTAATCATCACAAGTATAATATATAGAAAACTATAAGGTCAGAATTTCTTCACCACTTTAGGATTCAGAATTTCAACCGTTTTTATTATCACTGCAAGTATATATAAAAATATAACCACAATTAAATTGCCTTTTTTGTGCGACGAAATAAATCCATAGCCCGGAAATATCACCTAGTTATTTAAAAGTAAATCCGTAGATTTTACATTCGACACAAACACTCAAAATTCTATCCGTAGAATTTACCTTCGACACAGATTTACTAAATTCTAATATTATTGGATTACTTTAAAGAATTATACAATTTAATGTGTATCAAATTTCTTATGGAACAATACCTAATAACGAAGAGGTAATTCCGAAATAATATTTTATTTGTGTACCTATAAGACTTTACTGTATGTATATTTCTAATAATATAAATGGAAATTACAAAAACAAAACAAAAAATAACAAAAACAAAACAAAAACACGAAAAAAAAAATAAATAAAAAAAACGAAGAAAAAAGAATTGCTTTAGCAATTTAATGTACAGACGGGTAATATTTAATTATTTCTCGTTGTATTTTTCGTAAAATAATTATCATAAGTATATTATAACAAATCAACAAAAATATATTAAAATCACTTTAATTATCCTCCCGTGTTTTCTCTGCATACACATGTACACATATAATCCTAATCAAAATACATCACGTGCTATCATTTATTTAATTCACATGACGTAAATCTTATATTCATCCTATTCAAATTATTTACCAACCAAAGAAATAAACAACTCCAATTTCATATTTATATTTTATTGATTATTGAAAAAGAAATGAATTTATTCAAACCCGATCTACGTTTGAATCGATTCATGATACTTTTGATAACCGGGGTATTGAACTTTTATATCTATTGAACGCTTTTGAAAATTGGTGGTGGAAAAAAAATAGGTTTAGAAAATAATTGATGAAACTGTTTTCAAATAACATGTTAATATTTTTAATACGATATATCTTTTCTATTGATGTATTTAACTAGCAAAAGTACATGAAGTAAACATGTGTCTTTTAATCAAATAAAATGAGCATTCATTTCATATTCATACGGGTAATAATGACGGCATGCTACTTTTTGATGTTTACGACAACTTTTGGGAACATCTTTATAGATTAAATCTATATTTATGAAAACATAATTTATAAGTATTTATTCTTGGTAGAGCTATTAAGTTATGCTGTAATATATAGTACATTGTAATTGTGTAAGGATTGTGTTGCACGAGATTTCCGTGCATCAACTAAGTGTATCAGATTTGTGTATAAAGTATCGAAAGGTATTTTCAAATCACTCGAGGTTATTGCATTGCTTCATAAACATGTTTATTTTCCCATCCCATCCCTCCCACCCCTACAAATTGATTGAGTACACTGGTATCATATCAAGTTATTGTTTTAAAGAAAAAGAAGCCCATTTCGATGGTTATTAATTTTCTGTTATATCTAATAGGTATTGAGTGAGAAGAGGCAAAGTTCAATTAATGATTTATATTTGAATTTATTTCTGTATTTCTGATATAATAAAAGCAATGCAATTGGGCAATCTTAGTTATGCCTCGTTGTTTATTATGCTTAATAGCTTTTAAAGAGAATAAATAATTTATTTTCGTTTGAACAAGCGAATAAGAAAATATAGATATAGATAGTTTATACTAACGATTCACTTTCAGGATCAATAATATGAGCCGCGCCATGACAAAACCAACATATTGCGTGGATACTGACCAGCCTGCACATCCGCGCATTCTGATCAGGATTCACGCTGTTCGCTATTACTTTCTCTACTTACAATAGGGTTTGTAAGCGAACAGCATGGATCCTGATCAGAATATTTTTTCTTATAGCCAGGACTGATTTTGAGAAATTGTCTCCCTAAAAAATGCTAGAGGCATTTTGTAGCAAGTTGTATCTTGGTGTATTTCATCTATTTAAGGTATGCTGAATCCGCTAAAGGTGAATACCAAATTGAAAAACTTGATCTTGACCATTGAAATGGCCATTTAAAATGACCACTAAAATTGCCGCCAAATTTCTTTGTCATAAATGGATGATATATCACATAAAACTTTTAAGGAAAGGAAAAGTCTGATACAGATAATACACAGTTCAACGTGTACTGAAAATTTTAAGGCATTTAAACAGCGAACAATCGTCCCTGCCCTATCTGCAAGAAATAGAGCTTTCGTTTATTTTATAATGGCAACTCTATGCAAGCATATATTCTACTGTTTGTTCTTCTGTAAACGGCCCTCGTGGCAATTCTCTTGTTGTCCGTTCTTCTGTTATCGGTCCCTGTCCTGTTCTTCTGTTCTTGATGCCCGTCTCAGTACGCTTGTTGTCAGTTGTGCTGTTATCGGTCCCTGTCCTGTTCTTCTGTTATTGGTCCTCGTCCCTGTCTCTGTACTCTTGTTATCAGCTCTCCTGTTATCGTTACCTGTCTCTGTTACCTGCTATCAGTCCTCGTCTCAGTTCGCTTGTTGTCAGTACTTCTGTCATCGGTTCCTGCTGCTTTTATCGGTCCCTGTCTTTGTTCTTCTATCATCGGCCCCTGCACCTGTTTTTCTGTTACCGGTCCTCGTCTTTATTCTTCTGCCATGTTCTCCTGTTGTCGGTATTCGTCCTGTTATCGGTTACTGTCTCTGTTCGCTTGTTGTCAGTTCTTCTGTTATCGGTCCTCGTTACTGTTCTTCTGTTGTCAGTCTTTCTATTATCGAACCCTGGCATGTTGGCAGATTTGCTGTTATCGGCGGCTGTCTTTGTTCGTTTGTTGTCAGTTCTACTGTTATCGGTGTCTGTCTTTGTTCTTCTATCATCGGTCCCTGCCTCTGTTGTCCTGTTATCGGTCCCTGTCCTGTTCTTCTATCATCGGTCCCTGCTTCTGTTCGCTTGTTGTCAGTTCTTGTCTCCGTTCTTCCTTCTGTAATCGGTTGTCGTCTTCCGTCTTGTACTTTCGGTACTTGTTTCCTGTTCCGTTAAGGTCTTCTCTTGTATGTATCGTTGCCGTTATTCTGTGTTCTTGTAGTCATTTATTCATTCAGTGGAGTAGCGGGGGATCGAACTCGGGACCCCTTGATTTGTAGGCACACAGTGTTAAAACTGCACCATATCGCCCGCTCTGAATAGAACCATTTTTGAAAGTCCTTTATACATTAAATACAATTTCAATGGCTAACAAAGGATGTATTACAATTATATTTTAACACCTCTACTATGTAGCCAACTCACGTGACTTTTTATACGGTTAAAGAAAATATTACTCGATTTATTACAAGTGATATTTTTTACGGATAACTTTGCTGTTACATTTAGATATCCTGGACATTTATTAGAGGGTACCCGGAATTCTAATGTATATCAAATGATGTAGAATTTTCTCAAAACCGTGACTGAATTCCAAAATATTCGAGACCTGCCATGGTATAAACAAGACATTTTATGACTCGATGAAAATATGGTGTTGTTATTGTTGTTGTTGTTGTTGTTGTTTTTAACTTTAAATTTCAAATTAAATTGTCACTTATTTTTTAAACAAAATGGTAAGCAGTTGTTGTTTTCTTTATTTTTGTTAAGAGTGTGATAAAGTATACACTAGGACTTTTTAATAGTATCGATTATCCGTCGTATACCTTAATGCAGTTATAATTGAATCTAAGAAATGAATTATGTAGATATTATTTTCGGCCGAAAACAACAAATACTTGCAAACAAAATAACACACAATAAACTTACATGCAGCATACATGTCATCGTCGGATACCCACGGCCGAACCATTAACATTTATCTGCCGTGGGATTTATTGCCGATATTCAGTCGATTAGGGGTGTGTCAAAGGCAGCTATTTCATTGGCTGCCTCACGATTTCATGAGGCGATTAAAACCAATCAAAACGCTCGTTCTGTACGACGTTCGGTATTACAAACAATATTGCGACAACCATAGACGACGTGAAAAGTTCAACATCGAAAAATTAAACGATTTCAGCAAGAAAGTATAGATAATTTACTTTTACAGCGTGATGTTTTCCTTTCTGATTGATATCTTCTTGCAGAAGAACTGATTTGGCTATAGTTTTTGACATTGATTTTAGCAAAACACCTGCAACAGTATTTAACCGTGGGCGCTGCCATTTTGTTTCTTATTGTTTTTTACCTCCGCTGCTGAAGAATATAGATTTGTTAAACGCGATGTCATTGATAGATATTTACGCACCTGTTGCTGTATATCGACGCAAATCGATTCATTTTACCCACGGTTGATTGCATGTTATGTGACATGTTTATCAATCGTGGGTATCCGACGATGCATACATGTGTAATGTTCAAAATGTACTGAAAAACGGCTCTTTGTTAATTTCAACATTTAAGCAAGTGACACATTTTATAAAAGAATGGGACAGAAATTTGTTGTGACCATTTAAAAAGTAGGATTTGTAAATTTGTAAGTTGGATATTTTTACATAGTTTGCTCAACACTCATTTAAAACATTTTTATATATAAACCTGACGTACAGAAAAAAGACAGAAAACAACTTTCATAGATTGAGATAAATCAAGATGTCGTAAACATTTGGGTTACAAAAGGAGTTTTTGATTCCGATAATGTTTTAAGTAGGATAAACATTTAACAAGCTTATATTCTTAAAATTTTGCATACCCTTAATTTATTCTTTAAAATACGTGCAATTATGTAATTATTATGTCATTAGTTAGTTTCTGGGGAAAAGACTTAACAAAGGTGGTATATTTTAGTTTATAGTAAATTTTATAACGTGTCACATGTCGACTTAAAAAAGTTTTTGTATTGATTTTGCGCATACTTAATCCCGCTTTTGCATGTTGGAACAAACGTATTTAATTTGTTTGTAATTACTGATTTTGTATAGTCTTATGTCAATTATGATTACATTACAGCACTCATTGAAATATGAGATTACACTTCGATTTCGTCAGTAAAGTTAACAAGAATTAATATGGAGTATATAGAGGATATTTGTTTGTTTGTGTGAAGGATGAAATTTTATTTCATCGGGTGGGCTTTAAACACAGTTATCCCACGTTAAATGGCGACGAAAACTATATGAATTATCGCTTATTTTAATAATAAAAACAAACAATTTTAGTAGGAGGAAAAGTCCAACCATCCATCCATATTTCTGTTACTTACTGCGAATCTATATTAGGCCTGGCTCTATTAAATGTAAGCGGCGGCCATTTTTAAAAGTTGTGTATTCCACCGGAGGAAAATAATTATGTTTGATTCAGAAGGATATCATTTGGATTTGTTACTTATACATCATTTTCAAAGAAAGAAAACTTATTTCAGGATTGAAGCAGACAATAAATAATCGTTGACAGACGTGTAAACATTCAAAAAGTGGCTAGGAAATTACGAAATATTAATTTGTTATAACTTACGAAATATTTATTCTTTGGTAAAATTTATAAAGCAGGATTTGAAAGTAAGTTTATTGTTAAATATAAGTCAAGTAAACAAAACATAAAAAGGTGATTTTTTCAATCTAAGTCTTATACCATAACGTGCTAGTAAAACAATACTGTATTTAACTGTTAATTAAGCCATTAGGCTTATTATCGTTATATTTGGTGGCCAATGTCATTTAAATCAGATCATATTGAATAATCATTTCATTTTGACAAGAATAATTAATAGCATCATATTGTATCAT